GTAGAGTTTTTCAGTTCATTTGATCCATTAAAACTATTAAACTTTTGTCAGCATTTTGAATCGTTTTTTTGTTTTTGTTTTATTGTTTTGTAAGGAGGAAAAATTAACAAGACTCTAATCTAACTACTTCGTATGACTATATATATGAAAAAGATTAAGATATATTCAATAGAGCTAAGGAAAAGAGATACAAATATATCAAAACATAATGGGGCCTTTCTTGTAATTCTGAAACCACAGTGTTGTAAGAAATGTTTCCGTTTTGCTTTAAAAAAATTCAAATCTCGAGGGAGCGAGCATTTGCTGCGCCATGTCCTCATCGTGATCATCTAGTCCAATGGTTTATTTTTAAATTTTATGTGAAAAGCTTTCCTTTTTGTTGGAACCTGAATATTGCATATAACAAAGCATTTTTTACAGTTTTAAGAACATACAAGAAAGGGTTGATTAATTCATGTAATTTGAAAATGTCCATTCTTGTAAAAAGAGTTTTATTTCAAATTTTTCGACTGGAAAATAAAGGGTCGACGTCTAAAATCCTCTATTCTTCACACAATCTAACTTTATCGTTATAGAAAGGATGGCATATGAGAACTATTTCAACCCGGCACCATTTATCTGTGTCACTCATGTCAGAGTTGATTTATTGTCCCAGTCGTTGTTGTTTTCGTTAATATTTGAGTGTTTCTTTTATTGTCCAAGCAGTTGTGTGTTTTATGAAATGAATGATGAAGCCAAATTTAAGTAATCTCCGATAATTTATTCACAGACTATGTATACTTTATCCTTTTAATGTTTGAAATATTGTATAATGTCCAACTATCTTATATACATGATATAAGACTTAAGTTGACCTCTATATATCTTTGTTAATTGTTTGAGTCCTGAAGTTAAAGTCTCATTTATATCGAGTCCGCATCTCTGTTAAAAATTGGAGAAGGTTTTTTTTTGAAGAAACCAGATCTTGATTATGTTTGTGCATGTAACAATCTAATTCAAAAACTTAAAGAATTAACCACAGACAAAAGGAAAGTACGTCGTCCGAAATTATGATTGGGTTAAACTATTGGTACCAACGTTAACCTCTTTTATTTCGTACTTCAAACTAACCATGTAATAGTTTTGAAAAATAGAAACAAGGAAGAAATGAAAAAAATGGTTACAGCATTTGGGACCATATCGATTTTACCGAAATTCCTAAATGAACTCTTGCTGAAAGGGTCAAGACAGTTTGAACCACAGATACACATAAAATTAAGACATTAAATGTTGCATAAAAAGTACAGATTTAGCAAAATTAATGGAACTTCGAATGCCTTTGACATGTAAAATATTGACTTGAGTACCAAAAAAAAAAAAAAGATCAGTTAAGCCTATATAAAAAAAAAACAAAATTGATGCTAAAAGTTCACGACTACCTAGTTTAATCAGACAAGTGACATTTCTCAAAACCAAATCGGCAAAAGTAAACTTATTTCAGATTATACATTATCAGAAAAAAGATAAGTGTAGTGAAATATCATGAAATATTTGCCGCTGAACGCAGTTGTCATTCGATTTATTGCTCAATCAGTTAAGACTTTATGGTCAAATCATAAGTCATTACAATGCTATATACTAGTATCCCGATTTTTGTGGTGATGTATGGTACAAATGTTAAGTCGGACTCATCATCGACGGTGCTTTAGAAAAAAACAGACCCGCACATGTCAGCTATGAAGAAGCTGAGAACACTGCTTGTATTTTGAATCACTCGTAATATAAAATCTTTCATGCTCCTTTATATAAGAATACAGTAATTGAACTATATTTTCTTCAACATATCTTTATTGTGTAATATTTATCATATTATAAAAACCTTCATTTATTTCCATATTGTCGTGGTTTTTTTTAATAGTATTCTAGAAAAAAAATAGAAATGTAATAAATTAATATCGATTTCCAACCCAAAAATTTAAAAAATCAGAGAATAGACGCAAGGTCCGCTACGTGTACTAAAGTTTAAAAATTAATCCCGAGGATGATGGAAATTTACCCGAATGTATGATATGTCCAATTAATCGATTAACGAGGATAACGTGCATGTGCTTGTAGGTAAATGTGTTGACGTTACGTTACGTATCGTTTTTAGTAACGTCATTCAAATATGTATGGCAACGTAACAATGTGAAAAAACAACGTCTTGGCGCTCAAAGGGTTAAGCCCTTCAAACTGATTTTTACAAAATACCAAAGTTCGTGAAATCCATTTTTCCTTGAAGAAAATCTGCTTGTCCTCACTATATTATCTCTATTGCAAAATACCAAAATTTGTGTCAGTTCTTTGCAAAATTTTGATGGTCAAATTCTTACGACCACCACTTTTTCGCAAACTCTTAATCATGCTAATAATACCTATCAAGGAATAAATTAATAAAAAGTACAACAGACAACACCTACCACCAACAATATATAGGTTTCAATTGACACAATTTGATCAAGAGTTACTTCCCTTTTGTCACCATTCTGGAGGTCTAAGTGTGGAAATTTTTTCATAAATCAGCCAAATTATACTGGCCGCAAGACTTTAGAAAAATGGTTTTTCTTAACACTTGTTATTTCTTTTAGTCTTGCATAATTTATCACTTCGATCTTGTAAGAATCTATTATCGGACTTGTGTGTACAATGTATCTCATGTTTCCATTTGGTTAAATAAGAAAATTAACCATTTATCCCTCCAAAATGGCAGCCAACAGAAATAACTCAAACTCAAATCTGACAGAAAACAAACATACAAACAAAGACAATCAACAATGAACAACACACAGTCAAGATACATGTAGCCTGACTTTGTACAGGGACAAAATGTGATGGGGTAATACTTACTGTTTAACCAGTTTTGCGAGTGCACAAACCTCCCCCTTTGATGCCTTTAACTCTATTGCTGCAACAAATTAATTGTAGTTACATTAGGTTTGCCAGGAAATACAGCATAACATTTTTTGTGAAAAGATCCCCTGAATTTCTGTGACATCACCGCACCCGACTACGACTTCATGCGAGATATGATGTCACACACTGATGACATTAAATTGGAGACCAATTAAAGAAAAGATTACACTGTATTATCTTAGGTGTTTCATTTGAAAAAAAGAGATACAGTAGTAAACAGGTTCTTGCATAAATTAAAAAGTTGGATATACATGTACAATGTATGTGTCCATATGGCACAGTCAGTATGAACACATATATCCCTCCATCAGCAAGAGGGATAACCCTTTGACTGTGATGTTCATAGAATGAACGTTGTGGTGTATATGGAATTAATCTTTTACATTGTGGAAAATATTTAATAAAACTTCTTTATACTGCATTTTTGACCTCATATCTGTCACAATGACGTCATACTATTTTTTGTTCTAATTAAAAGATACTAAAATATATATATGTTATAATTATTATTCACGTAGTGGAAGTTGTTTTTATACGACCGAAAAAAATTCATATATTGGTATGACTTTGGCGTCGTCATCATCGTTGTTGTCGTCGTCGACCGAAGACACATTGGTTTTCGCACTCTAACTTTAGTTTAAGTGAATGGATCTCTATGAAATTTTACCATAAGGTTCAATACCGCAAAAGGAAGGTTGGGATTGATTTTGGGGGTTATGGTACCAACAGTTAAGGAATTAGGGGCCAAAAAGAAGCATTTTTGTAACTTCCAGACGTAACTTGTGTGTTAGTGTATGGATCTCTCTGACATTGTACCACAAGGTTCCATACCACAAAGGGAAAGCTGGAATTGAGTTTGGGGGTAATTTCCCAAAACGTTTATGAATAAGGGGCCAAAAATAAGCATTTTTCTAGTTTTCAGACAATAACTTGTGTTCAAGTGTATGGATCTCTCTGAAATTGTACTGCAAGGTTCCATACCACAAAGGGAAGGCTGGGATTGATTTTGGGGGTAATTACTTCAAAATTTTAGGAATTAGGGGCCAAAAAGAGGCAAAAACAAGCATTTTTCTAGTTTCAGGACAATAACTTGTGTGTAAGTGTATGGATCTTTATTAAATTGTTCTACAAGGTTCCATATCACAAAGGGAAAGCTGGGTTTGAGTTTGGGGGTAATTGCCTTTAACGTTTAGGAATTTGGGGCCAAAAAGGGGCCAAAAAACAAGCATTTTTCTAGTTTCCAGACAATAACTTGTGTTCAAGTGTATGGATCTCTCTGAAATTGTACTGCAAGGTACCATACCACAAAGGGAAGGCTGGGATTGAGTTTGGGGGTGATGAATCATAAGGGGGTTCAAAAAATTGGGGGGGGGATTTTTTTTTCTTTAAAATTTTCCGTTTTAAATTGGTTATTTCTGATTTACATATATATATAAAAGCAAATGATAATGATATGGTTTGAATAGGTAAATTAAAAATTTTGAAGTTCTTAGACCACATTCATTCTGTGTCAGAAACCTGTGCTGTGTCAAATATTTAATCACAATCCAGATTCAGTGCTGTATCAAGCTTGAATGTTGTGTCCATACTTGCCCCAACTGTTCAGGGTTTGACCTCTGCGGTCGTATCAAGCTGTGCCCAGCGGAGCATTTTATTATTCTTTAGTTTGTTTGCAAAACTTCTGTTATCAAATTTTAACGAGGGACATAGATTTGTATATGTAGATCCAACTAAAAGCTGTAGCTACATTTACCTTAAACTAGTTTCCTAGCCAGCACATTTGACCCTGTTTTCCAAATGATATATTGACGATTTGCTGAAAAGGAATATATATGTCCCTAGTATGGCTAAAGGGTTAACAATCTAGACCATATTTCATTAAAATAAAACACAATAGAAACCTGCACATTACAGCTACTGTACCAACAGGATAACCCTTAATGTGAATAAATAAAAAATTGCACATAATTTGGAAAACTGGGTCAAATGTGCTGGCTAGGAAACTAGTTAAAGGTACATCCTTTTGTAAATCACTTTGTATTAAACTTTGTGTTTTAATTTCTTTTCAGAATTTAATAAGGGTATTTGCAGTTATATAAAATTGAATATGAGGGAGTACAAAAAAATATGAGTAAAATTTCTTCACTATCAGTGCTATTCAAATGGAATAAAGTTAAAGCATCATGTAATAAAACATTACCAAGATCTAGATGTAAACATGCATGTTGCTTACATAATGAATATGCATATATCATTGGTGGAAAAGATGGCAATGTTTCAGTGAAAGATTTTTGCAGATTTCATATAGGTATGTTGCATTTCATGAATTTTAAATAATATATATAATGTTTCTTAGATAATTAAATTGTAGGGGTTACTGAAGCTGAAGTTAACATTAATGAATATAACAGTTCATTTGCCATGCTTGCATTATGATTAATTCAAAAATTGGATACATTTTGTTGATTAACTTTAAACTGATAAAAATTGTATCATGAACTAAGTTATTTTTATTAAAACATAAAATCCATAATTCTCAAGAAATGCATCATATTAACAATTTTGCTGTTGCTAAGGAAACACCATTCAAAGTATTATGTTTCTGAATCATTTAATTTGATTCGGTTAAATTTGCACTATAAACCTCACATATATACAGTGTTTTCAAGGAAGAACATTCATCAACACGATTTTTAGAGTATGAAATCTGACTTCAATATTAGATACATGTATAACAAAACTCATATTGCAATATAATAGTGTTGAAACAATGTATTTTCCTTTGTATAACAACTAGAAAGTTTATGTGTCCATGGTGTCAGACAATTCTTTGTACAACACATATAGTAAAAGGACTTTCAGTACCTGAATAGTAAAAATAGCTGTTCAATATCTACCTGCACAATGCCTCACAATGTAAAAAAATTGAAAACAAACTGACAATGCCATGGCAAAAACGACCAAAAGACAAACAACAGTAATCAAAACAAAACGTAGAAAACTAAAGACTGAGCAACATAATTCCCACCATAAACCAGGGGGGATCTCAGGTGCAGTGGAAGGGTAAGCGGATCCCGTTCCACTAGTTGCACCCATTGTGTTGTTGCTCATGTAAGTAACAGTTGAACCAATAAGCAGATACCTTGATCTAGAGTTTGTATATTTCTTATCAAAGTTCAGTAGTTACATGTTACACAGTGTCAATCACACAAATTTCATAAACATGTATTATCCTGGTAAAAAAGGGAATTTTCAAATACTTATTTCTTTCTAGAAATAATAGCATCATTTCTAGAACACAATTTATAATAAAATCATTTCAGAAAACATCACATTCAAGCAATATATCATTTAATACCATGATGCTTAAAGGCCCTGTGGAGAACACTGAACTGTTAACCTGTATTCTTTCTCCAATTATGCCAGTGAATTTTAAAACTGACCATTAAATATGGAAGTATCAAACAAATGCTCATGTACATGTTGAACTCTCATTTTGATTTTTCAGGAACACACAAATGGGAGGAACTTTCATATAGAGGGGAAAAGATTCCGTATTTTGAAGGACATAGCCTAGTTGCACACAAGGTATGTACATGTAAATTTGTTTAAAAATGGTAACCAACATAAATGTTTTTAAGAAAAATGATTAAATCAAAAGAAGAGAAAACCTGAAAAGCATTCAATTGGCTGTCCTTAGTCTAGAAAAGTTATGAATATATATTTAACAGAAATCATAAAAAAATCTGCCATCAATGCCAAATGAATGGATAAAGAATAAAAAAGTCAGTTTTGAAAAATTAGAAAAAAAGAAATTTCTACACATACTTTTTAATAATCCGACATTTGTACCACATGTCTTGCAAAACCAGTCTTTTTTAAAAGAAATTATAAAGATATGATATAGAAATTATAAACACAAATATTACGTTTTGAATATATTTGGTAAAATTCATTTGATATTAAATAAACTATAATTTGAAGCATTATTTAAAGGTGTATGTTTGGTATTCTAATATGAGTCTTGTATGCAATTTACATATATATGTGCACACTGTATATTTTGTGTACTTACAGAGACTTTTGTTACTATTTGGAGGTGTACTGAGTTATGATCACACAGAATCAGCCTTATGGATTATAAATCCAGGTAATTACTGTCATTCTATTATTTTATTTTGTTCTACATGATTAAACATTAACTCAAACTACAAATTTAATTCTGGAACACACCCCTCCCCAAAAGAAATTTTGAAACCACACACCAAACAAAGGTAAGCAAACCCTGAGGTCTTACATTCATAAATAAATTTATCAGTGTGTATTACTATGTAAGAATGGATGTTGGCAGGAATACTACTCCCTAAAATAAATTACTGTAAGTTAACACATTTTAAGATTTAAAATTCAACCTTAGTGATTCATATGCTTATCTTTATCATTTTCATACACTCACAATTCTTGAGATAGGTGTATGTTAGATGAGCAGTCATTATAATGATGCCTATATCTGCTCATTTTATGCCCCTGACAGGAGATTTCATCTCTTCACAAAGGTTTCTTTATGCTCAGTTTTACATTAATGGAAATGTAATATTAATGATGTTCGCTCTTCTTGTTTTTGATTTTTTTGCCAGATATTCGGAATCCTCTAGTTTTATCCATGTAGTGCCATTAAAAATTTTGCTCGCTAACCCCTACTTTTCTTTTCATAATTTTATTACATATAGTTTAAAAAGACATATTTAAAAATCTTATAAAATCCTTTAATTTTTCATTGTTTTTGAAAGAAAAAGGGTGTCAATGTTAAATGTATGAAAAATCTAGAGAGAATCATTTCCCGCCAAATTTTTAATGGCTTATATCTCGAAAAACCAACACATGGACCCTTCGTTTTTTTCTGCTTTTTTAGTTCCTTCATTTACATACTATCAATTTACAACAGTCTTTTAAAAAGCTTGTTATTTTGAAACAGAGTAGCGAACATCCTTAAAGCGATAATTCTCTCACAAAAACCACACTACAGCAGAGTAATCTAATTTTGAAAATGTAACCTGTTATTTTCAAATCTTTTATGCTTTAACAATTCGTACTTAAGAGATATGCATATTTGTTATTACACACTTTTGGTCCATGCAGATTTCTAGGGATTGTGTGAGCTTTGAATTTCTAATGCTTGCTCACATAGTAATATAAGTTTTTCATGCTAAGTTTTTGTTTCGCCTGCAACTAAAGATGCAGAATGTGAGACATAGGGATTACTATCTGGCGGCGCTGTGGTAACAGTGTAAACTACTTGTATAAAGCTTTATAATTCAGAAGGTAGAAGACCTGTATGCTTCATATTTTGTACGCTGATACCTAATGTTAAGAAGTTTCTGTCTGTCATATGTCCATTGTCCTTGATTTCATTTTCAGGGTTCAGGGAATGCATGGAAATTAATAGTTTTTTCATCGAGCCAAATACTCACTTTTTATACGACCACTTTTTGCGGTCGTATATTGGTATGACATTGGCGTCGTCATCATCCGAAGACACATTGGTTTTCGCAGAATAACTTTAGTAAAGGTGAATGGATCTCTATGAAATTTTACCATCAGGTTCAATACCACAAAAGGAAAGTGGGGATCGATTTTGGGGGTTATGGTACCAACAGTTAAGGATCTAGGGGCCAAAAAGGGGCCAAAATAAGCTTTTTTGTAACTTCCAGACAAATAACTTGTGTGTTAGTGTATGGATCTCTCTGACATTGTACCAGAAGGTTCCATATCACAAAGGGAATGCTGGGATTGATTTTTGGGGTAATTGCCTCAACATTTTAGGAATGAGGGGCCAAAAAAGCGGCAAAAAACAAGCATTTTTTTTAGTTTCATGACAATTACTTGTGTGTAAGTGTATGGATCTTTCTGAAATTGTACTACAAGGTTCCATATCACAAAGGGAAAGCTGGGTTTGAGTTTGGGGGTAATTGCCCTAAACGTTTAGGAATTTGGGGCCAAAAAACAAGCATTTTTCTAGTTTCCAGACAATAACTTGTGTTCAAGTATATGGATCTCTCTGAAATTGTACTGCAAGGTACCATACCACAAAGGGAAGGCTGGGATTGAGTTTGGGGTGATGAATCATAAGGGGGTTCAAAAAATTGGGAGGGGGATTTTTTTTCCTTTTTTTCCTTTTTTTTTTTTCTTTAAAATTTTCCATTTTAAGTTGGTTATTTTTGATTTATATATAAAAGCAAATAATAATGATATGGTTTGATTTCATCAAAAATTGAAATATTGGGGTTCTTTGATATGCTGAATCTAACTGTGTATTTAGATTCTTAATTATTGGTTCTGTTTTCAAATTGGTCTACATTAAGGTCCAAAGGGTCCAAAATTAAACTTAGTTTGATTTTAACAAAAATTGAATTCTTGGGGTTCTTTGATATGCTGAATCTAACCGTGTATGTATTTAGATTTTGGATATTGGACCATAATAGGTAAATTAAAAAATTTTAAGTTCTTAGACCACATTCATTCTGCGTCAGAAACCTATGCTGTGTCAAATATTTAATCACAATCCAAATTCAGAGCTGTATCAAGCTTGAATGTTGTGTCCATACTTGCCCCAACTGTTCAGGGTTCAACCTCTGCGGTCGTATCAAGCTGTGCCCAGCCAAGCATTTTATTATAAGAATAGGATAAGTATATTTGATATATGGGTTCCTTGCAAGGTCTACATGTCCATTAGAGAGGGTTCATCTGACCTCAACCTCATCTCATGGATCAGTGATCAAGGTTAAGTTTTTGCGGCCAAGTCCATATCTCAGATACAGTAAGCAATAGGTCAACTATATTTGGTGTATGGAATGATTGTAAAGTGTACATATTCGACTGGCAGGCTTCATCAGATCTCAGAGCTCATTTTCATTGTTCATTGCGATTGGTCAATGTTAATTTTTTTTATTTGGTTTATTTGTCTGATACTATAAGCAATAGGGCCACCATGTTTGGTGTATGGAATGATTTTTAGGTTTACATGACTTTCTGGCAGGTTTTATCAGACCTTGTCCTAATCTTAATGGTTCATTTGGCAATGATCAGTTTTCATGGTTTTGTCTGTTTATCAGATGCTATAAGCAGTAGGTCAACTATATTTGGTGTATGATATGATTGAAAGGTGTCCATGTCTGTCTGGCAGGGTTCATCTGACCTTCACCTCATTTTAATGGTTCATTCAACAATGGGAAGTTTTGTGGTATGGTCTATTTCTCAGATACTGTAAGCAATAGGGGCACTATATTTGGTGTACACAATGATTGTTAGGTGTTTGTGTCTGTTAGACAGGGTTCCTTTGACCCTGACCTCATTTTCATGGTTCACTAGTCAATGTTTGCTTTTCATGGTTATGTTTTCATTAGATACTATAAGTGATAGGTCAACTATATTTGGTGTATGGAATGATTGCATTGTGTGCATGTTGTCTGGCAGGGTTCATCTGACCTTGACCTCATTTTTATAGTTTATTGGTCAATGTTTAAATTTGGTAATTTGGTCTGTTTCTCAGATGCTAAAAGCAATAGGCTTACTATATTTAGTGTATTGTAAAGATTTTAAGGTGTTTGTGTCTGTCTGGCAGAGTTCATCTGATCTTGACCTCATTTACATTGATCATTGATAATGTTAAGTTTATGTGATACTTGTTGTAAAACTATCATATAAAATACTTTCAACATAAATTCAATCATGATTAGTAAAGCAGGCGAGACATTTCAGCGTTTATACTCTTGTTATAAAATAATCAGTGTCTTTAATGATACATATCAGAAGTTTGGTTTTTCTATATTTAAGAAAAATACTCTTATTAAAAGCTATTAACTCTAGACCTCTTCCTTTGTCAGTGGTGTCACCTGTTCTAGTAAAGTGCTCTCTGTTTCAGATTTACAATATATCAGAAGGCATGTCCCGGATGCTGGTAGTACACAGCCATGTGCCAGACGTCATCACACTTCAGTAGTCCATAATAATGTGATGTATGTGTATGGTGGATACATTGATCTTCAGGGATCAACCTCAGATGTATGGGCGTACCACATAGGTATGTGTATGGATATGAGCATGTCTTTCTACTAGTAGGAACTTACATAATTTGTAATCTAGAACCTTCTTTTGAAATTTTTGCCTGGATGTTTTGATATAAAATTAGTTATATCACATCACTTCTAAAGTAGGGGCCTCAGTGGCCGAGTGGTCAAAGTAGTTGAACTCATGTATCACTAGCCTGTCAACACTGAGGTTGTGAGTTTGAATCCCACACCTGGCAGGTGCATTCAACTCCCATCTTATTTGACTAGGATTGTCAGTTTTCCTTCCGAAGGTCGGTGGTTCTCTCTGTGCACCAATAAAAACTGATTGCCATGAAATAGCACAATAGTGCTGAAAATGAAATGAAAAGGTGAATTCTTTACACGATTAAGGTGTTACTTTTTAATTATTGAAATAGACTAGAATGTTTACTCTCCAAAATATATATTACATAATACATGTTTATCAATACTAAATAATTCATCTTTGCCCTTATATATTACATTAAAAATAAATGATTAAATAACTATACTCCATACCAGATGGTGTTTGAAAATAAATAAAATAGAATATTAACCCTCTCTTATACATGTACATAAAAAATAAACTACATCATTACTACATGTATATTTAGTTTCTGGAATGCAAATTTTCTCTTATTTCAAAACAAGTACTATTAAATAAATCTTGACATTGACATATTAACATTTTCAGACTCACAGGACATCAACCAAAGAAAACTGTTCGTACTTTGAAATATAAGGGAAGTTTTTACATAGAATGCATGCTTCATTAAAAATAAAATTCCTTTCATTTTCGTATGCAGTGCATTCCATTAAAAAATGAAACTCGTCTTCAACCTGCATATTTTTACACTGCCCACAAAATCTTTTATCTTTATCGATTTTTTTATATCGACCTTTCTCAATAGCTAACTGATGAGCACTGATTCTAAATTGAGTTATTAAGCTTTTTCGATACTGAAATTTATTAACTTGACATAAATATGCTTCCCTTTTGAAGATGTTTTTAAATTTGAAATAAGTATGCAATTTTCCTTTTTTGACATTTGCATTATCGTTTATAATATTTTTCCAGTAAATCTTATATCTACTAATCAAAATATTTTTAACATTTTCAATGTCAAAACTTTTCATATCAACATCAATACATCTTAAAATATATACAATATTAGAATACCAAGATGACTTATTACATTTGTGAGTGTCCATACTCGTGACCAGGGCTTGTTTTAACAAATGATCCTCCTCTAAACCATTAATTTTTTGTAAAAATTTAAGAATAGAACAAATATGGTCAATATTCAATGGAGTACGACCTAGCTCCCCCATAACAGCTAAATTACATGACTTTTTATTTACCCCGAGAATGTATTTGTAGAACTTTAAAATTAAGTTCTCTCAATCAAACTTCGAAATTTTTTCTCAATTTCAAAGAGGTTGTCTGTTTGACATTTCAAAAAATTAAAAGTACAAGTTCCCCAATTTTCTGAGCCATATGATAAAATTGGCTTTATTGTGTTTTCAAAGATATGTAAACAACTATCAATTTTTTAGATGTTTTCACTGAAAGTACTTTTTAACTTGAAGAAAGCTTTTAACCCCCTTTGATGCAAATGATATCAAGCAGTAGAAAAACTTCCAGTATGCTATATGCTCTATTGGTGTTTGTAAAACCTATTGACTTGAATGAATTATGTTGCCATGACATTCCTTGTGTAAATTTCAGATGATGAAGAATGGGAACAGATAAAACCTAATCAGAGATTAGAAAATACCGCAGGCAGTCGACATGGACATACATCGGTTTTATACGGTCGAGAGATGTGGGTATTTGGAGGAATGTCTGGCCTGCAGGCAAAATCAGACTTCTGGAGATTTAATTTGCGTGAGTATACATACATGTGCCTTGTATAGTGATGTAAATTTCAGAAATTTAAGACATTAGAAATTGCTATTAGGTTCATTTAGTGTACTATTTTTTGTATCATAATATGCACAACATTATACTTAGTCTGCTTTGCATTACCTTAATGAAACCCTTGGCAACCTAGAAAATAAGACTTATAAAACAGAGTATTGAAATTTATGAAAACTTGTTTCTTTTTTATCTACAATTTATAAGATTTTAGGGGTCATCCAATATTCTTATAAGTTTTTCTGCAAATATTCCTGAAAATAATTTAAGATTACCTGTTACCACAAAAAAACTTATCCTTTTATTCCTTCATCCTTCAAAAATAGTTTAAAAAAACAGAAGATTACAAATATACCATATCCAACATGTCCAAGATATAAAAGAAAAAAACATAAAAAATCCAGATATAGTCTAAACAAGATTCAGAGATTTCCTATGTTTTAGATTTGATAACATTATAGTATAGGTCTTTTACTGTTGAAGTAGTAAATATATATCATGAAAAGTACACAACAGGACAGGAAAAATGAGAAAAAACCCTCTTTTTTTTGTCTTTCATTTTTTTACTATTAGAAATGCATCCCTCTAAGTTGTTGAACATTTTTCTTCACTAAGATAGTGTATGGTGATACATAGCCTTTTTAGGCTAATGTGAAATTAAGCAATAATCAATCAATTAATCTAAATTCAAGTCTAGATTGCAGGGACATGTTCACAGTATGAAAATACAAAGTTTTTGGCAAACTGATGTTGAGTGATGTAGTACATAAATAAGAAAGCATCTTCCCTTGGATAAATAAACATTAATAAACCTTCAAAGCTTTGTTTGATGTTTTATGTTCATGATTTACTTATAAAAGCATCAAGCACAAATTGCCTAGGTAGTCTTAAGGTAGCATGCTAGCTTCATGTGTTGGTGGTTGTGGATCTTATTCCCAGCTGGGTCGAGCCAAAAATTTAATGTTATAAAGTACTTTCTGACAATTACTCTGTATGTGATAGTTTACATTCCTAAATTTTGCAGAAGCATCTTTTGAAATATAAGTATTAAATTACTACATCTTGTTTTATAGATTCATTGAAATGGGACAGAATAAAGATAAAGTATGGACCTCCATGTTTGTCTGGACATTCAGCTACAGTCGTAAGTATTTTGTATTGTCTAGCTATCTTTATTCTTAACTATCTAGTAACGTAAACCTCATAAATAGTATGAAAAAAATATGTATAAAAGTATAACTTGTACTGTGTTAAACCATATTAGTATGAGATTTGGGTTCAATCAATGAGAAACCAACTTAACAATACAAAATCCAAAAGATATATATATATATATTTATTGAAATAATAAGATAAAACTATGTGAGCTATTGATATCACTTGGTATCTGTCATTGTCATAAACTTTACCAATCATCTATTCAGAAACCACAAAATTAATTTACACCAAACTTGACCACAAGCATCCTTAGGGTATCAGTTTTTTGGAGTGAATACACCAAGACGAACCAGGTTTGTCTAGGTATATGAAACTACTACTCAAAGGTTTCTGAATTGAGTTTCTAGAGAGATTGTCTGCATTTACCAGTGATCGGGAAGGACGTGCGCCTTGCGCCAATTGCGCTTATCGACCAGAAATGGCGCATAGAGTGACAAATGTAAGCGCCCGCGTGGCGCATGATATTTTTCACTTCGTTTTGAAACGTTGAGATATCGTCAAATGGATTTCCGATCGTATTTCGTGCCGCCATGTGTGAGTACACAACTGTGTAGTGTTTACTCCAATGATAGGAGCACCTATATATTTTTGGGACGTCTCGGGTGTTTTCCTATGGTAATAATAGCAACATGCAGTATGACTGATTACCCAAAAACCTAATTAACCATCATTCATGATATAATTTTTTATAAACAACTTTAAATTTGTGAAAATTGGCTAGTACAGGCGAGAATTCTTCTCTAATTATAATCTTTTAAGTAAGCTTGCTATTATTTCGATTGAAAAATCCAAAAAGCCTTTTTATGAATAGCATAGTATTTGTCTCCATAAAAGGGGCTTAACTGTCCTTGTCAATTTTTTTGGTCTTTGGCTCGTTTTGGCATTTTGTAAACATGCCTTCAGCCAATTGTTGTTGTGTCTTATCAATTAACGTTGCTCTCGACTGTTATTCTTGTCATCGTGATGAAGTAATAATAATACAAGTGCAGAGGAAATGCCAGAAACGTCCTCTAATACGGAACGTCTGGAATAAGTATGGTATCGACGAAGACCCAAATTTAATGTAAAAAAAAACATGAACATGAACAAGGGAACAGTACCAATTTTAACATTGTAAATAAAGGTTATTGAAAATATTGCCTGGTTTGGAAGAAGTTATTGTATATTCATTGAAATTGAAATTACAAAATCACAGGAACAATATCCATGATATTAATTAGAATCATACTTGTAAGTACAGTGAAATATACACTTTTTAAATTTTTTTTTTATTGTAAACGAATGGCCCACTCATTTGACAACATGGCCCATTAATTCTAAAAATGGCCCATTGAATTTATTTTTGGGGGGCCCTGGGCCCATAGAGAAAAAATCCTTCCAGATCACTGCATTTACGCTCTTTCAGTTGCAAAATCACCATGATTTCTTGACATCTGAACTGAACATTAGTAAAATTAAACACAGAAACTAGGTGAGCAATACAGGCTCTTTGGAGTCTGTATAGATTTTAAATTCTTACATGAACTAATATGTGATATGATTAACAATAGAGTGTGCTATGCAACCTTAAAAATCTGCTATAATGAACTTGTTTTACCCTGAAGATAATGCAGATAAACATTTTTGTGCACCTGTTAAGAACTGAAAAAAGATTGAAACTTGAATTTAAATACAAAATGGATTTCAACATAAATACATTACAATATCATTATGTTGAATAATCAAGTAAGCATCATTTATAGAACAACATTATAGCATACTTGTTAATTTATTACCGTATATGCTTATTTTAGAAAAAAATCTTGTAAGTAGTGCTTGAAATTAAATATTGGATATCCAAAAGATTTAACTTTAAAGAGCAGTAAACCCAAAATCACATAAAAAAAGCAAATTAAAACGAGCAAAGGAACATAATCAGCCTTTCATCAGGATTGTTTTCAGCTGAAAATTTGGCAAGTAAGAATAGTAATATTAGAAGCTTTTGGTACTTGGCTAGTGATTCCTTCTGGGACTGATAATCCAACAGCAAGTACATGTAGACACGGAAGATTAAACTCAGGAGTAAAACTACTTTGCATTTAGAAATTGTATAAACCACTGAATTGTATGATGAAGAATGTAAACATCACATGTATGTCTTCTATTACCATTTTATGTGGAAGTACTTTGATATAAATTGTAAATATCAACTGATAAGTTATCTATATAATCAGTTACCAGATAACCTACATAAAAATAAGTGTGAATAATGAAATGGCTGTACTATTACATATTTTTTGTTAAATGTATTCCAAACTAATAATACTTTTTTGGGTTTGAAAATAATGTTTGTATTTTTAGGTGAAAGATTACATGGTGATTGTAGGTGGAGAAAGTAATGGTGTAATGTCAAGTGATATATGGGTATTTGGTTTCTGTAAGTATCAGGGGTCAATGTAATGGTGTAATGTCAAGTGATATATGGGTATTTGGTTTCTGTAAGTATCAGGGGTCAAAGTTAAGGTGTAATGTCAAGTGATATATGGGTATTTGGTTTCTGTAAGAATCAGGGGTCAATGTAATGGTGTAATGCCAAGTGATATATGGGTATTTGGTTTCTGTTAGTATCAGGGGTCAATGTAATGGTGTAATGTCAAGTGATATATGGGTATTTGGTTTCTGTAAGTATCAGGGGTCAATGTAATGGTGTAATGTCAAGTGATATATGGGTATTTGATTTCTGTAAGTATCAGGGGTCAATGTAATGGTGTAATGTCAAGTGATATATGGGTATTTGGTTTCTGTAAGTATCAGGGGTCAAAGTAATGGTGTAATGTCAAGTGATATATGGGTATTTGGTTTCTGTTAGTATCAGGGGTCAATGTAATGGTGTAATGTCAAGTGATATATGGGTATTTGGTTTCTGTTAGTATCAGGGGTCAATGTAATGGTGTAATGTCAAGTGATATATGGGTATTTGGTTTCTGTAAGTATCTGGAGTCACTAACATTTATTGGTCAGAAAAAAACCTTAATACATTAAAAATGTCATCTTATCAACTTAAGTATGCTTGCAAAACATTTAAAAGTTAAGTTTTATACACAAAGAAGATTCACATCATGACATGCAGCTGATATCTCAATATCTAGAAAACCCTAAAAAATTTAAAATAATTCACTTAGCAGAACGGCTATGTGTGTACTGTTATAAAATGAAGCAGAACGGCTATGTGTGTACCTGTTATAAAATGAAGCAGAACGGCTATGTGTGTACCTGTTATAAAATGAAGCAGAACGGCTATGTGTGTACCTGTTATAAAATGAAGCAGAACGGCTATGTGTGTACCTGTTATAAAATGAAGCAGAACGGCTATGTGTGTACCTGTTATAAAATGAAGCAGAACGGCTATGTGTGTACCTGTTATAAAATGAAGCAGAACGGCTATGTGTGTACCTGTTATAAAATGAAGCAGAAGAAGATGCAGTCATTAAGATGATTAAATTATGAATAAAACATTATATAATTCAGTCATACAAACTGAAATGTTTTACAAAAAAACACATAATTTTAAAAATCTTAAAGGATATGTTTAGAAGTTAAATAAGATAACTTTTTGTAAAGTTTTTAGATTGAAAAAAGATTTATTTATGCAAAATGTGTATTGTCACATATGTAACTTTTGATTTTTACCAAATGCCTTCATGTAATAATGAATATGACTTTTAATAAATCTTTTCTTGTATTTTACAGGTACATTGAAATGGACACATTACCAACCCACTCATCAGTATCCTTCACCTCGTAAATGGCATACAATTATTCCTGTGACAGCACGATACAGGAAGGGAGACAACTCTGTCAGAACTAAATCATTACCTCATCTGCAGAAGAAAGGACACAACAATGTGGTAAACAGACCAAAATCAAGTCCTGTTTATTCTTCTGCAAGATTTGCTAGACGATCTCCTGAGCAGACTGAAAATGCCAAGTTAAACCGTCCAAATACTTTAGCACTTAACACGAGCAATGATTCAAATCAAAATAACTCTACTTCTCAGCCAATTGAAATGGCAAGTTTAAGTGAGAGAAATACAGACAGGAGAAGTCCTTTTAAAGGAAATGGATTTGAGAAGGGTACAAAACAGAAAGATGAGAAATCGCCACTGTTGTGTAATAGACAGACCTCTAGGGATAGTATGATATCTAATGGTAGTGGGCTAGGGACAGATAACCCATGTCTAGAGCTAGATAGTAGCTGTGAAAAAATGAATAGATTTGCCAAATGTGACAAAGACAGCTCTGATTGTCTGGTTTCTTTAGAACTGAAAGATATGAGTGAAAATATCAATCTGAAAGATTCATTTCATAAGTCTCAAGTTGTTACTAGATTTGTGAAAAATAAAAAGCAGAATTTTCATGCATCAAATATTCCAGGACAAGTCAACCTGTCTCCAAATGGTGATACATTCCGTTGTAAAACTCACAGCAATAATAATAAATCATGTGATCTGGTTGTTGAAGATCTTGAATTCTATGATAATTACTTCTCTAACAGTACTCAGGAATATAACAGACTTAAACCCCAAACACATTCCAGAAAGGTGGATATTACATACAGCTCAAACAAAGATTTAAAGGTTAAAAATTCTGATACATCTTTTTATGAAACAGAATTTAATGACAAAACTATGGTGAATAGACAAAATTCATTAGAAGAAAAGTCATATTCTATGAGTGATATTAGTAAACCAAATCTTGTCCAAATTCAACCAATAACCTCAAAATCAACCAGCATGCAGTTACCCCAAAAAGTGCCTTGTAGGAAATGTAGTTTGAATTGCTGGATGGAGGAAACTGAGATTGATGATGACACCTCATCCCCAGTTGATGATGACACCTTGTCCCCTGTTGATGATGACACCTTATCCCCAGTTGATGTTGATAGTATGTCGAATGCTACATCACACATAGTGAAACAGTTGAATGATGATGTGATAGAATCCAAACCTACACAGGACCAAGAAGCTGGTAAAGAGACTGTTGTTGAGGTATTTGATTTGTCATATTAATGTAGGGATGCAGAAAACATAAATTGCACATCTCAGTATATAGATTTGTAAAACTGACCTACTTTCTTACACTTGTCATGATAAAATAGTTCATCCCATGAATTTATAGAGGACAAAGTCCTCAAAACAGTAGAAAAAGCAATAACGAGAATAATCACTATAAAAGTCTATATGTTATAGATAATGCATATTTTAAGGTTTTTCTTGTCGTAGAACACACTGAGGGGTGTCAGGATTGATCAAATGAAAGACCGATCGTAGGGAGGTCTTTCTTTGGGCAATCCTGACACCCGAGGTGTGTTCTACGACAAGAAAAACCTTAAAATATGCATTATCTGACTTATATACCGTCAAAAAAATATTGTTTTTTATAAAGATTTGCAAAATTTAGCATCCTATTTTACTGACCACACTAAAGTGGGATATTCCTTTCTAATGCGTTCAGGTTTTAATACACCCTACGGCTCATTTAGAATGTGAAATAAAACTCACTAATTAATCTAGATATAAACCTTAGAAATTATTATCCATACACAATAAAAATATTACTGTAACTGCATGAAGTAAGACACAAATGAATTGTTACCATCTGATAACAGTGTATGAAAAATACAAGACACTTTGTAAGTAATTTATTGTAACAACTTAGTTTATGGAAAGGGGGAGGTGCTATGTTTTTTTTTTGTCGATTTGTAATGACATTTTATTTGAATCGAATAAAATAATCAGAATGATTTTCTTTTGAATATCAATACATTTTTTTAACAGATAATCAGGATATAATTATATACCCTCCCCCCACCCGACCTCATTGTGAGGTACGTGAATGTTATTCAATAGAATATAAGAATAATTTATTAGTTAATCATTTGATAGAGTAAAAGGTATACATAAATGTAAAAAAGTAAAGAAATGACACGAAGGGGGCACAGAATCGTGATACATGTACATGTTACACGAAAACGAATATTAATACATGTAGGTCACAGTATGATTTCCTATTCAGTGTGTATCGTCCTGAACTTGCATGAAATATTTGCCACTGGACGTTAAGTAACCATCAATCAATCAACCTATTCAGTTTGAATCAATAAGATTTTCAAAATCTTACACACGAATATGTTAAATCTGGCTTTATTTTAAAGTGTTATGAAAGTTTTACATTAAAATTCATCTCGCATATATGATAATGTCTCTGTATTGTAGCGATAAATTAACAAAACTTCACATTATTTGTTTCTAAAATTAAAATTCGGGCAATGACGATTGTTTTTACACCTATCATAGATTGAACTTTAAAAAATAAATTCCCAAATCGGCAACAGAAACTATCAGAAGAATATAATTTTGAAGTAAATTATAGTTTGCATTTTTATCAAGGAAAATAATGACCTCACACAGGTCATTATTTTATGCCTTAGAGCATATTTCATTGAAACATGGTATCGTCCGGGTTGATTCTTCGAAAGAATGACCTATCGTTCTGAAAGAAAATAACTCCATATAGGTATATAAACTAGTATTATAATCTCTGTCTTTCTCACATGAGCAGTAACAGATTTGGGTTAAATACTTTTCATCTTGTACCTTTCATTACAAATTTGTACTCAACCAACTTGTACCTAATTTTTACTAACTCTTACATTTACTACAGTAACCCATACTATTACCAACTTTTTAATTTCTTAATAAACAAGTGTAAAATTATCTGCAATTTTCATATCTGATGCACAGAAAATATCATGGCAATAATATTGTCTTCCTCTTAAATCATTGTAAATAGGTTACACCTGCCTCATATGAAAATTATCATGAGGGAATACAAACGTTTTATCTTCATTTGTACTGCTTATTTGCTTTCTAAGCTAAACATGTTAAATGACATCTTTCAAATTCATTACTTGAAACATACATATGGATAAAAAAACGTGTTTTTTTTATTAAAAAATCAGTGAGATAGCAACCAAAAATACAAATAAACCATAAAATGTAATTGTATTGATGTCAAATCTACATGTGTGTATATGTACATATTTTATAGAATGGTCCACCATACTTGTTGTTGATTGGTGGACATGAGGAGAGGGGTACCAATATATTTGTAGAACCTATTATTGTGTGGCAGTGTGATGTTTTAGTCAGGCATAGTGATATCAGCCATGGAGAATACATGAAGTAAGTAATCAGGGTCTAAAACAAGTATTAGCTTGTCTAAATCAACAAGCTGGAATACTAATTTAAGTGGTATTATAAGCAATAAACTCTAACTCAACATGCAATGACACCTTGTATTAGATACAGGCATTGGAGATTAGTGATGTTAGATATTGTATGAAAGTAACAAAGGTTCATTTGAAAATGTTTGGACTAAAGTATTTTATCTGATGAAAAAAGTTAGACTTGTCCATTGTCGAGATTTTTATTTCAGAATAGAGTTTATTTTCCAAAATATCCCCATCATCCTTTCATTTTGTTTCAAGTCTCTGTCATTAATAGGAAAGGAAGTCACAAATATTATCTGGACAGTGAGGGTGTTTCAGTTATTAACAAGAATCTATAATTTTATTCTTTACTTTGAAGACTCATTTTCAGAAACACAACATGTAGCAGCATAGCAATTGACTCAAATAAAGTCAGTAGTAATGGTGTCTCTTTATCATGGTTATTTTATATCAAGGGGGAGAATCAACTAAGAAAGTAATAGGCCTGCAGTGATCATACTAATCTTGATATAGTTCATATTGAAATTTTACTAGATTTACTACTATGTAGTAGCTAAAGATCTGAGCCTTAGATTGATAGAACATTTGTTGTTAATTTATATGGTAAAAAGTTTCCTGTGAAGATGTCCGCTACATTATTTACATGATTCTTGAAAACTTTCTCCAAGTTTTGAAAAAAACAAAGTTGAAACAAGCTTGATTTAACATGTTTAAGGAATAGCAATTGATGAAAAGATTATAAATAAAAGTGCTTAATTTTAGTAAGATTTTTATTTGTGTGCTTCCTTTCTTTAAACACTAAATTTGTTTCAGCGATATCAATGAGGTAAACAATACTAGTGCATGGACACAATCTTTCTGAATATTTGCAACTTTCTTAATCCTTCAGGCTTTGCCATGGTTTTAATATGGTTCTTCACCATCAACAAATACTTGTTAAATTAGACTCAAAATTGTAAGAAGTAGCTGAGCTAAGGTTAAAAATTGGTGCATCATTGTCAATTAATCAACAATTTTGTGGTTTTATAGTAAGTTGTTTCATGGATAGAGAAAAGAAATTGTGCATTATTATTCTTTAACCCTTAATCTAAATAAAATTGAAAAGCAATTCATTGTTAAATTATTGTAGAATAAAAAATTATTTGGTGAAATAAACAGTAATATATAGATGCTTTTGATTAGTACAAAATATGTACGCTGTTAAAATCAATGTATTATGGTATTAAGGATGCATAGTAATGATGGGGAACCAAAATTTTGCAACATAAACAGCAGTTTGACCATCAAGATAATTTTGCAACCCAGATTTGTGACTTGCAACAGAAATCCCAGTTTGGTCAGAAATAAACTTTGTTTTATTGCAATTGTTGATGATAAGGTTTAGAAGATACTGAAACATCCTTATTGTAGGGATAATCAAAATCAAGAAGAGAATAAACAAACAAAACAAATCCAAAAACAAGGACCAGTAACAGTACATACAAACAATCAAAAACTTGTCACAGGCAATACAAACTCATATGATAACTCATAACAATGAGCATATCCTGCTTCACATGTGACATCATTGTATTGTTTGGTGGTCACACTGGTCAGTAGAGGTAATGAGTCAAACTCCAAGTAGGAAGTAAACCATTGTTTCAGCGGGTTTCATACATTTTTCATACTTCAGATCAGATGTTAGGATGATTCAGGGTCCATAAGTAGTTCATATAATATAATAGATTAATATATAATAGATTAATAAAAAAAAATGTAGGACCCTGCCGAAATAACAGGGTTTGCATATTAAAATATTTTAACCATTAAGAGCTTATCTGCATGCTTATCAACCTAGTACCTGAAGACCACCAATTGTTATGTAATAAGCATTTATTTGCATTGTGCCCTCTCTTTTGAACAACACTATGCTTATTACAATCTATGTTATATGTATGTATATTAGCCCTGATGCACTGCAGATGAAATTATAAAGCATGGTAAAAAATTCCTTTTATAGCTTTTAGCAATGTTTAGAGTTGTAATTTCCTTCAGATGTTTAGGAATTTTTAAAAGTCTAAATATCTATCATCACTCTGATAATCAAAAGAATATTATATAACCCTCATAATGTTTTCAAAATTCCCCTATAGATTTTCTTTCAGCCTCTAAAACTGTCAAACAATCTTATTTTGATATAATGTCATTTATATTTTAATACCAGCAACAGTTTTACCCAACAATGTATTTTGGTACAAGATGTATTTTCCAAACACTGTATGTTGATGTTTCAAATATCTTTTTTGTGGATGTTGCTTGTGATTATTTATCAAAATCTAGGCATAAAACAAAATTTGTCATTTATAACATTTTTAAACCAAATGCATTCGGCAATAAAATTAACATTAGTTTTAAAAGATTTTGGAATTGGGATTTTTGTTTTTTATTTTGATCAGTACTTTTTTTCACTGAAGTATGCCATGGTCAAGTAAATACATGTATCCTTATTTGACTCCACTTGCTTTACAGCCAATTGTTGGGTTTTTTTTTAAGGTTAACTTTATTTGTAATTTAAAAGCAGATCATCCAGGGTTATCCACATGCCTTTGGCCTTTTACTGGAGCGACAGATGAAATTAACCATTTCTTGAAACACCTACATGTATATAAGCTTTCTTTTTATGAAGATTAGTACTCCTTAATTTTTCTACTATTTCATTGATTTACAGTTAAATTTGATTTATTGAAAAGGAATCTTTTGATATTATATTTATATTTCCAGATCTAGTCTTGTTATATAGAATTTTGACAAGGAGACAGAATTCAGCCAAACGTAAATGTGCCAGATATGCAGAGTTTGCAGGGTCTTTCTACTATGACATTTTATACAGAAAATGTTGAGTTTCACTACAGTACTGTACACAGTTTGTCACTCCAATAACTTATTCAGAAGTCACACCTCAACAGTTTCTAGTGTGTTGTTTATTCCCAGTGTGCCTTTGGAGTTACAGTTGTTGTTAAGCATTATTAGATTAAGAGTGAATAGCCAAAAACCAGCACCATCATTTTTTATATTTTTTTTTAAATTTAAAAAGCTAGTTACCCTTTTTTATGTTATATTTTTTATTGTTTTTCTATGAACATAACATGAAAATAATTTTAGGTTATCATTTGTAGTAAATTTGAAGCTATTCTTGGGCTCTATTTTAAATAAAAGTAAATGTGAAGCTATTTGGGGGCTCTTTAAAAAAAAATTATTCCTTGTATTGTTGTATAAATGCATCATTTTACATTTTTATTTGGTTAGCAGATGTATATGACAAACAGGTACTTATAAATGTTTACTCTAGTCTCATTGTGTGTAACCATGTCAAAAAAGTTCCCAGTTCAATTCATTAAAAAAAAAGTTGTTTCTCAATAAGAATTATATTATTTTTTACGTTTTGGCACTTGATTTATTTAACTGTTTTAAATTTTTGTCTGCAGTCATGAATGTGTTCAACAGGAACTTGTAGTTGACCATTTCATCAGTAAAACATGTGTGTGCCACAAATTAAGTGCATTGGTTTTGTCTGCTTTCTTTCTCTTCAGGTAATGTTAAAGAATGTAACTGATATTAGTATATTCTAGAGGAGAAAACAATAACTGTGTTTAAACATTGTCTGGAAAATATATAAAAAAAATGCTCTGTAATATAGATGTAGCATAAACATTGCTGATAAAAATTGTTCATCAAGGGAAACTAAAATCAATATAAAAGATATATTGTAACTAAAATAACTAATTGTTGATAATGGACTGTTTCCATCAGTTTCCCAGTAGTTTGTCTGGTATACGCTCACTCTATATCAGCTGAATTTGTAGTAAAAATTTTTTTTTTTAAGAATACAACTGTTAGTTTTGTACATGCTTTTTTATAGTTTAATGTCAGTTTTTCAACATCACAAACATAACTGATGGTGATGCAATGTTTATGTTTAAGATATGTCTGAAGAACAGAAATATGGAGTAATAATGAATGTTTACATAACATTCAGCACAAAGAATGGTAGGGAGAATAAAGAGAATTTTCTAGTCTTATTTATGAATAGGTAAATGATATTATGTGCAAGATTTGTTATTTATTGTTCAAAGCATTTACTCAGGTAGGAGAGTTTAATTTCATGTATATAAAATAGGAAGGTAACTAACTTACAATAATATTTCCTATTTGTTTTCAAAAGATCATTTTGAAGTCCCTGTTTATAATTTTACAACTCTGATCTTTATATTTCTAGATACACTATTATATAAAGACTTTAACTTCATTGACTGAACATGATTTCCAACATAATATGGCTTATTATTTTGTGTGGATGTCTGATTTGCTTAGCAAAAACTACTTATTCCATATTTGGATCAAGGATCCGGAAATTTTTCCAGACAATTTCGGTCATTTTGAGGTGTTTGAAAAGTTGGTGCCCCTTCTCAAATTGTCAATATCGACTGGACTATATTCATAGCATCAACGAACATGACGAACTTGTATTGCTGTTTCATTATCGCATTTACTAAGTAAATGTCTTACCATTACCATGAAGGACAGTTTAGGGAAGGCAACAGTCTAAAATTGAAATGATTTTAATGACTCAAAATGGTTAATTTCTCAGACATTGCTTACGTTTCTTTCGATTTGACAAAAGTTAAAACCGGAAGTTTGCGATATTTTAAAGTACGAATAATTCCGGATTCATTTCCGGGATTTGTTTTGTTTATCAAATTGACAGGAAATCACCGGCTTTTTATGGCTTTTTTATTTTATTACCTTTAAAAGTGTTTGAATATAACAGATAATAGTTGCACTCGTTTAATTTAGCATGAAATCAATTTGCATTTTACGATTAAATATTAAATTTGCTGAAGATAATTTCACGCATGCGTATTACATAGTAAATAAAGCACATGTGTTACTCATGAAAAAAATACTTTTTCTACGTAAATTTAGATTTACTTTTAAATCAGAATTGATGACTGTCTTTGATGGAAAGTAAATAAATAATGAAAACACTTGTCAGGGAACTTTAATGTTTTAAAGATATTATTCTGAGCTTGTGATCACTGTCAGGTGTGAATTAAAACCACAGGTAAAAAGTGATTAGCGATCATTAGCCAATGTTTCCCGGAGGCATTGATATAGATATTAGGAGGGCCCACAGGGTTATCAAACTATTGTAGTGGCAGTTTTATTACAGGAAAGGGATTATAAATTAAAACAAGTGATCACAAGTGCAAAATGTCTATTAAGAAATCCGATTTCAAACATTGAGTCAAAGAAATGACCGAAATTACTTCTGTAAAAAAATAAAATTTGTCCTAAATCCCAATTACTCGTTTAGGACAAATAGTTTCATCTTAGGACATGACTGGCAAATATGACCGTTTCCGGACCCTTGATTTGGATAATCATATAGTAATTTTCTTCATCTTTCATAAAGAAACCAAATTGTTTTCTTACCAATTTTTGCATTATTTACTGTCTCATTGTTCCTGAAATAATGGAAATTTACTTTACTATACTGGTACATATTTTAAATTCACCTAGTTTTATGAGTTTTTTGTAGAGGAAACGTGTCTGTCATACAAAATTAGAAGCCTTGTATCTTCGATGAGTTTTTCATACCATGAAGAAGAAGAAATTCTGATATGAACCATATTAGACCTATGACTTGCGTCGGAAGTGCTTAATGTAGAATAGTTCTTCATTTCATTCAAACTTAAAGTATCATGATATATATCATTTCAGTATCTACCAAATTCGCAATCATTTTGATTTTATTAGCAAGTGACTGCCTTGTATTTATTCTATTTTGTTGTGACAGACTAATCTTAAGGTTGTCATTGTAGGTTAACTTAATTGTTTCATTTAATATTCTATGATTTGACAGAAATGTTTGTGTCACCTGACAGAGAAGCTATAGCCACACCACCTAACAGAGAAGCTAAAGCCACACCAAGGGATCACTTCTGATATCTTTGATGTGTTTATTCTGTTGTCTAGGTTTGTTGTCGCCATCATACGTGTCACCTGACAGAGAAGCTATAGCCATACCACCTAACAGAGAAGCTAAAGCCACACCAAGGGATCACTTCTGATATCTTTGATGTGTTTATTCTGTTGTCTAGGTTTTTTGTTCCTGTCATACTTTTTTAATCTACAACTCATACATTGGCTTGACTGAACTTTGCCATCCCTACATATTTTACTTTGAGACATGGGAGACATATCTTGCTTGAAAGTACCGACATATTTTTGAATATATGTTTTGAGAGGACTGTCATGATATTTTGAAAACAGAAGTCGCTTACTGTTTTAAATATCTATGAGTACTTAGTTAGCTTATGTTAATAGTTGAGCAATCAAAGGTTACCTTGTGATACATTTTAACTTTTTTTTTTATCAAATCCTATTCTAGGATATTCTAGGATTAGAAGATTTTAATTTTTATGAAATCAACTTTAAAAGATAGGTACTGCATTTTTATATGCTTTGTACTGTTGATTGTTTAAAAAAAGAGAAGAGTTTTATCACTCAAACAATACCATCAATTTATAAGAATACTTTTTTTTTTACAATTTCCATTCTTTTTTTTTACTGACATCCTAAATGTAACTCTATTTTGAAATTAGAAATAAATAAGAACACCTTTTTTATTTTATTTTTGCAATTTCCATTCTATTTTTTTTCTTTCCTAAATGTAACTTTATTTTGAAATTTTAAATAGATACAATGTTACTGATATGATAGTTCAAGTTGTCATATAATTTAAAATAACTTTGAACTAAATTATAATATATATGATATATATATATGTATTTAATGGGAATCCTTTTTATGCAGCTTCATTTGATTGAAAAGAAATCTATTTGAGGAATGTGCATAAAACACTTGCCTTTTATTCAAGGCTTTCATCCCTGTTTTTTTAATTTTCAAATTGCTTGAAATTCCTTAAAGGTTAGATCAATTTACACTTGTTTCTTTGCGTCTTTTCTTTTCGTATATATTTTTGTATTTATAAAAGAAAAATTAGTCTCATTATATTTATATACAATGTACCGTAAATGCAAAAATCAATATGATGTTTTTATGAATTTGAATAAGGCTGTCTAGTTTCAGTGATACTATTAACATTACAAGTTTATTACATTTTGTCATATTTAAATAATGGATTTATCAAGGCCACAATAATAAATGCCGCATGCAGGTCAGGATTTGACAATACCCACCAGTAAAGGAACACATTATAATGTCAAAGATTACCAAACCAGGCAAAACAGATGTTTTTAATATAAATTGATCTTATTTTCAATATATGACATCTGTCCTTAACCTAGTTTTAATGATTGAAGGAAATCTTAATATCTCCTGCATCCAACTTTCATGTTACTTTGTTTCTGAGAAAAAAGATAACCTATACTTACGATATTTGGTAAAGTATTCCCCATTTTAACCCATGTATATTAAATAGTTTTTATGCATATGTTAGTCTGACAAATGTCATCTGACTTTTTACTTCATTCATGGCCAAGTGATCAAAATCTTGTGTTAGTGATTTTGACTTTTTCTTAGTAACAGCGTGACAGGTTCACAACATTTGACCTTGTCTGTTGATTTGTTGTAAGGTAAAGTTCATGGTTGTCTGAAATATGTAACCTGCCCTTGAACATTCATTATCTAGTTATTCATGCCTAGCTGATGTTTGTGATGAGTTGATAGCCAGTTGTATATGTTTGCCTCATGTGTCCTATGACTATCAACTATATCTTGATAGAAAGTTTTATTTCTCTGCCTGATGTGTAATGTTACTATCACTGATACACTGTCAGTATATTATCATTTATTATTCTGCTATAACGCTAGTGAGATTTTTGTAGGAATTTGTACTTTTATAATCTAACAAATTCTTTTTTTTTATATGTACAAGGACATAAAATTATGCTAAGAATAACAAAATAAAGACATGTGTAGAACTCACTAAAGATTGTGGACAAGAATAAAACTTAAAAATATTAATTTTTGACCAAAAGCCTTTTATGACTTCAGTTATATTATTCTTTCAGTATTTTTCTGTACATACATATTATTTCTGTTTTTAAGTACCAGATTTATATTTAGTTAAATTTAATTCAGTATACTCTTTCTGTGATATCTGTTATACAGTATAAGTTTATATATGTTTCTAAATAAATACTTTTGTAATGATAAAGATTTGCTATTTTTAACACCCGCTATAAGTTAGTGTCATATTAAAGTATTATGTTCTAGTTTTCCATGATATGGTTTCCATGTGATGAGTTATTTAAATCTTATTATTTTATGGAAAGAGCTTGAAGGGCTAGAATAATGTTTTATTATTTCCATTGTTATTACTATATATTGTTATTGGTTTTCAGCTGAATTTCATTCTGTTTGATTCTTCATTTTGTGTCAGTCATAATGATATTGTACATCACAGCTTCCTTAGAAATCACCTTACCAACCAGGATGTAGCCATGTAAGCCACTAAATCTGTAAACATTGAAATAAAGTTCCCAATACTTCTCATTATAAAAATGAGGAGATGTGGTAGGATTGCCTATGATACATGACTATATGAATATGCACACATACATTGCAAAAAATGTGGGTTATATCTTTAGAGCAGTCTTTACAAATGTGTGTCATTAATTTTGTCTATTTTATGACTAGTTTGGGTAATTTTTATTAAGTCATGGCACTGATGCAATACAAGTATGATTGAGAATGGTCATGATCAACAAACAATTGAAGATAAAGATGTGGTTTTAATTGAATACCCCTTCTCAATGCCCTTTTTCATGTCAATCTTATCGATGAAATTAGCGATGTTGGATGTGTACTGATTGTTATATTAGTCTTAGATACATGATTTTTTATACGACCGCAAAAAAAATTTTGTGGTCGTATGACGTTGGCGTCGTCGTCCGGCGTCGTCGTCGTCCGAAGACACATTAGTTTTCGCACTCTTACTTTAGTTTAAGTGAATGGATCTCAATGAAATTTTACCATAAGGTTCAATACCACAAAAGGAAGGTGGGGATTGATTTTGGGGGTTATGGTACCAACAGTTAAGGAATTAGGGGCCAAAAATAAGCATTTTTGTAACTTCCAGACATAACTTGTGTGTAAGTGTATGGATCTCTCTGACATTGTACCACAAGGTTCCATATCACAAAGGAATGCTGGGATTGATATTGGGGGTAATTGCCTCCAAATTTTAGGAATTAGGGGAAAAAAAACAAGCATTTTTCTAGTTTCATGACAATAACTTGTGTGTAAGTGTATGGATCTCTCTGACATTGTATCACAAGGTTCATATCACAAAGGGAATGCTGGGATTGATTTTGGGGGTAATTGCCTCCAAATTTTAGGAATTAGGGTCCAAAAAGGGGCAAAAAACAAGCATTTTTCTAGTTTCATGACTATAACTTGTGTTCAAGTGTATGGATCTTTCTGAAATTGTACTACAAGGTTCCATATCACAAAGGGAAAGCTGGAATTGAGTTTGGGGGTAATTGCCCAAAAAGTTTAGAAATTTGGGGCCAAAAAGGGGCCAAAATAAGCATTTTTCTAGTTTCCAGACAATAACTTGTGTTCAAGTGTATGGATCTCTCTGAAATTGTACTGCATGGTACCATACCACAAAGGGAAGGCTGGAATTGATTTCGTGGGTAATTCCCTCAAAATTTTAGTAAATAGGGGCCATAAAAGGGCAAAAAAATAAGCATTTTTCTAGTTTTAGGACAATAACTTGTGTTCAAGTGTATGGATATTTATGAAATTGTACTGCAAGGTTCCATACCACAAAGAAATTGTACTGCAAGGTTCCATACCACAAAGGGAAAGCTGGGTTTGAGTTTGGGGGTAATTGCCCTAAACGTTTAGGAATTTGGGGCCAAAAAGGGGCCAAAAAATAAGCATTTTTCTAGTTTCATGACAATAACTTGTGTTCAAGTGTATGGATGTTTATGAAATTGTACTGCATGGTACCATACCACAAAGGGAAGGCTGGAATTGAGTTTGGGGGTAATTCCCTCAAAATTTTAGTAATTAGGGGCCATAAAAGGGCAAAAAAACAAGCATTTTTCTAGTTTCCAGACAATAACTTGTGTTCAAGTGTATGGATCTCTCTGAAATTGTACTGCAAGGTACCATACCACAAAGGGAAAGCTGGAGCTGAGTTTGGGGGTGATAAATCATAACGGGGTTCAAAAAATTTTGGGGGGGGGGGGTTTCCTTTTATTTTCTTTAAAATTTTCCATTTTAAATTGGTTATTTCTGATTTATATATAAAAGCAAATAATAATGATATGGTTTGAATAGGTAAATTAAAATTTTTTAAGTTCTTAGACCACTTTCATTCTGTGTCAAAACCTATGCTGTGTCAAATATTTAATAACAATCCAAATTCAGTGCTGTATCAAGCTTGAATGTTGTGTCCATACTTGCCCCAACTGTTCAGGGTTCGACCTCTGCGGTCGTATCAAGCTGCGCCCCAGCGGAGCATTTTTATTATTAGTTGTTTTTTGTTATTGGTTTTGAAGTAGCTTTAGGTAACTGTGAGTTCTCTCAACTCTGTGCTTTGTGTCTTTTGTGTTTTTGTAAGTTTGTTCATGCTTTGTACCGATCTGATGAGTTAAGCCATTTTCTGCTGATTTTTATAGTTAGTTCTTATGTTGTATCATAACACCACGGTTCTAGTTTAGGGAAAGGGTTTGGCACCAGCAAACATGTTTAACACTGCCATATTCTGTATGTGTCTGTCCCAAGTCAGGACCCTGTATTTCACTGGTTGTCGTTTGTTACTGTATAACGTATTTGTTTTCGTTTATTGTTTTGTACATAAATCAGGCCAATAGTTTTCTCGTTTGAAGTTTAACTTTTGTGATTTTGGGGCCTTTTATAGCTTACTATGCAGGTGGGTTTTAACTCATTGTTGAAGGTCGTTCGGTGACCTATAGTTGTTAACATCTACCTCAGTTGGTCTCTGGTGGAAAGTTGTCTCATTGGCAATCATACCACATCTTCTTATTTTTATATTAACTATCAACTTAGGTTAACATTAATTCATCTTCAGTATCATACAATTCATATCAAAACCAATAAACAAATGGTATACTTATATTTGAACATCAAAATGATCCAAAGAACAACCATTTCCAGCTATTATTTTAAGAGACAAAGATCTTAGTTTCAATAGATATAGGAAGATGTGGTATGAGTGCCAATGAGGCAACACTCCATCCAAGTTGCAATTTAGAAAAGTAAACCATTATAGGTCAAGGTAAGGCCTTCAACACGGAGCTTTGGCTCACACCGAACAGCAATCTATAAAGGGCCCCAAAAAATGACTAGTGTAAAACCATTCAAACGGAAAAACCAACGTTCTAATCTATATAAAAACGAGAAACGAGAAACACGTATGAACTACATAAACAGACGACAACTACTGTAATCAGATTCCTGACTTAGGACAGGTGCAAACATTTCCAATGGGATTAAACGTTTTAATGGTACCAAACCTTCTCTCTTTTCTGAAACAATAGTATAACATCACAACATAGAAAAACACACAAAAAATGTAAATTAACACACAATGAACGAATAAATTTGACCTGTGACACCTGAATGCAAATACACAGTTAGTGTAAAATTACAAGGGATAAATAATTAAAGTCAAAAGTAAATAAACAGGTTTAAACAAAGTTAAAGTATGATATGACTGTGAAATGTCAAACAATTTTTAGAAAATCATCACTTTTGAAGAAACCTGCGTCATATTATACACAGGTAAATGAAAATAATTTTGTTGTTAAGTATACTTCTTCTTCTGTGTGTATAAAATCTTCCGTTTAGGAATACCAAGAATTTTCTTTAATATCAATAAAACTAACCCAACGTTTTATCTGGCGCCAACCTTCACCCTAATCTGAGACAGTGGTGTAACAATACGACATAAAAGGACACATTATAAAACATTAATTGAAAAAAGGCTCAACTCATCAAAGTATGAATACTAACAGATTTTAGACAAAAGATATACCACGAAAACCAAATTACCAAATAGTTAAATTATAAACCACAGAAAAAAAAACACTTCTCTACGAAATGTGCTGGCCAAATGACTAAAATACGATGAGCCTAAATACATAAATTGAAAGCACTTCAAAATTTCAATGGATTCAGTCGAAGATTTATTTGGATCAAGTGTTCCAAGTGGTAAGTGTTGAAGTCCTGCCTTGGAAAGTGTCACGGACGCCATCACGAGTCGGTTAACCGTTATGGAATATCTGTGCTACAGATGACCACGGATATGTTTCTATTGTCGTGACCACAATCCCGTCATCTTTTCTTCTATTATGAGATCAGAATTATCACCGAATTTGCACTTACTATGTCCACTTGGTGGTATTTTCCACCTATTTTTAAATTCTCGTGGAGAAATACACGTATACAAAAACTTCCAAGAATCCGGTTTATAGACTGTATTATATAAAATGATACAATCTACTTCATAAAATTAAGATTTTTTTTAGATTAAATCTTAGTTGTCCCTAACGCAAAACACAGTTCAACATTGAGTCCTTTTAAAAGTCTTTTCAATTAACATCGTGATAATTTTTTTATCCTCTTATGATACAAAAGAAAGTGTTTGGTGTATCCATTTGTAACGCGAAATCACTACACGCATGTGTAAAAAGCAAGGATTAGTGCTTTCATTACTATCCTTCATCTCAAAGTCACATTGATGCCATCACCATTGAGCAAAAACTGTTAGCTCCTTTTTATTATCTGTTATTCATTGTATATTTTCAATAAAATTGAGAATGCAAATGGGGAATGTGTCAAAGACACAACAACCCGACCAAAGAGCAGAAAACAGCCGTAGGCCACCAATGGGTCTTCAACACAGCGAGAAAATCCTTTAAATGTTCATTTGTGTTCCCAAATAAAAAAAAAAGTGTGACTTGTATAAGATTTCCTGGTGGTAATTGTTTTAATATTTTAATTTATACACACTCACATTTACCACACACTTTACGAAAATATGATTCATTTTGCATAATTAATATACAGTCGGGGAAAACAACCCATATCAACATATACTGGAGGAAAAATCTCTATTGAGGGCACCTCGTAATCCCTATTGAGTGCCATTTTCAGAAACTTTGACTGGAAAGGTCATCAAATGCGCAAAGGTCTATAATTGAAGCATCTCTATATAGGATTGGTTTTTTGTTTGCTTAACATCCAGTGAAAAATATATCGTCCATATTCAGGACGAGAAAACAAATTACGATATATCCAGTAGGCAAGTTTTGCAAAGTAGGTCGAACATGCCGAACGGGGGTTGAGGGGCGGGGGATGTGAATTTGACATCAACTGGATAATGAAAATGTCGGATAGTTGTTAAAATGTTTCCCAACAATCATGCCAGTCACTATCAAAACATCTACTCTTTGCCGAAAATCCCAAAATAAGAACATTTTTTTACATTGAATTTCGCTCTCCCAATTTTATAAGATACAAAAATATCAAGGGTAATTATCCTTTTTGAAAATCTTAATACCTGGACAAACAGATTATGTGGTTAAGAACGTGTTGATGCACACGGAACGTTATTACACACTTTATATGTTTTTTTTCTTTAAGCTGTGGTGTAAGCTTGGAGTTTAATACTGAAAAGTACGTAACCTGATAATATAGAAGTAATGCCTTTTTACATTATAATAGATGACGTTGATATTTTTTCTATGTTTAGTTGGCTCCTTAAAAACCAGTGTCCAACGAAATAATTGAAAAAGACCTAAGGACGATGTAAACAATTCGTCCAAAGTGAGTAAGACGCAAATAAATCATCAAACTTAACAGGAAAACATATTCTTTTCAGCTTTTTATTGAAAGGAATCATTACAATAATATTTCAATAACTATATTGTTTTTGTTTCCGTTCAGACAGACGACCAAATAATATGTTCTTGCAATTCATTGTTACCGATCCGTTCCTCATCTTTGAAAGTTTGGTTCCTCTAGGCAGAACTTAGGTTTATTAGCAAGTGAAAATCTTTTCTTTTTACGTACATGTTGTTTTCTTAACATTTGATGTCTGCTATGATAGCTTGGAGTTTAGCACTCACAATAGGTTTTCTCTTTCAAAAATTATTTACGGGTTTCATTAAGTCCTGAAAGCCAGTAGACTGTCTGTCTTTAAGCTCACAGTTATATCTAAATAGAAGTAAGCAAACAAACAAGACAGTATGAAACCGACATTTTGTTATAATCATATAGTTCGATATAAATTATAATTTCAAAAATTTTGTTGACGTGTTTTTTCATCTGAAATGCCTCATGTTCGGATTTCATTACTCGATGAAGAGACAAGAAGACATAGCTGTATGAAGACATGACAATTTCTTTTATCAAAAGGTCGAATAATATAATATTGTGTAGTTTTAGATTGTCTGTAGATTGTTTTTCTTAAAGGGATGCAGGTCAAGAGGTCATTAGAAGGAGTAAAGTTTAGATTTGAAGTCGCGGTTTATTATTATTCAACAGATGCTTTATGAAGCAGTCCTAGTATTAGTTCGAAGAACATTTCCGAGAGTGTAAACAGTTATTTTGCAAAAGCTTTCGGATTTTTTTGGATCCTCAATGCTCTACAACTTTGTACTCTATTTGGCCTTTTAACTTTTTTTATTCGAGCGTCACTGATGAGTGTTTTGTAGTTGTAGACGAAACGCGCTTCTGTCGTTCAAAATTTCAAGCCTGGTATCTATGAAGAGTTTCTGAAATATTTTTCGACGATTTTTACTGGCGTTTCCTCCAACTGGTCAGCTTAAGATCAAGTCGAAGAATCGAATTATCCCACACATTTTACTCGTTTCCTGCTGATACAACTTACAAGGATGCACCAAATAACTATAAATAATTGGCGTTATCTATGCTGAAAATCAGTACTAGAAATGTAGGTTTTAATCCGGTAATTAGTAAGAATTTCCTAAAGGGGATCCACCTAAGAATTTATGATTTTTATTCTGATTTCAAACCACGACAATGATGGGTTTTGATTAAGATCTTCTTGGTGAATACACTGAACTAATTGTGTTTATATGTTGTATGAATGTACACCATGGTCTACACTCATTTGTTATTTTGTTGCCCATCTTATTTCCAAGGTAGCATCCACAGTTAAACTGAATTTAGCATGGTCTCCACGGGACAATTTAAACAGATATTTCCTGGAAATAATATGTAACGACTTTATGCGTGATTGTTATATGATGGTCTTCATCTATGAAAGCTAGGTTCCTTCGTGCAGAAGTTTTAAAAGTTTGTAAGCAAACCAAAATTAAAAAGAGGTAGGGCCAACTCCTCCTGTATTTGTTTCACTCACAGGGTCAAAATCTAAAAGTTTTCAACCCCCTTGAAAGATATAGAAAAGTATATATTACATACTTTAAATCTATTGCATAAAATCGTAGTCTGAATTACATGTTGCTGTTTAAAGCATTTTGATACAAAATAGCAAATTGTACAGTTTTCGTCAAATGCTTCGAAGGAAAAAGCTAACTAAAATGAACTATTTTGTATCCTAAAGACAATTCATACCTTCAATTCCAACAGTAATTTGAATTTGTTTAAATATGCTATTCTTTTTCAAATTCACACGAACCTCGCCAAAAAAATGGGATGACCTAAGTTGCTCCGAAAAGGTAATCAGATCCCTGCATATCCCGTTGTATATATCTTTACATGTGAAAAAAATAAAATAATTACGATTTTGCAGCTGAAGATGCGGTCACAGTATTATGCTTATTTTGTCGTTTTGGTGCGATTTTTACTTTACATATCGAGACAAATTGATCTTTACTGAAAATTAAATCCGAATAACTATTATGTCATTAAAACGAAATGTTCAAAGAAATACCATATGATTTTGAAACAAAATTCTTAGGGGAGTTTTTCGAGAACTTGCAACTTAAAGCATAAAAAATGCAATTTTTGGTTCAATTAACGTACATTAAGTACAATTATAAATCTATTGGATAATGTTTCAATTGTTTGTATCACTTGAAGTATGAAGGCTACATGATTCATTTCAATTACAAATTGAAAACAACACTTTATAAGTTTCATGCGTCCGAAGCGCTTTTCTGGATTTACCTTCATCAGGAACCATGCAAGGATGTATAAGAACCGAAACAGTTGAAGACCTATATAAATAAAGTGGACATAAAGATAATAGCCAAATATATCTAAGATCAACTTTGCCTGAGTTGAAACATTAGCAGTTCAATTACGTATACTTCGACATAACAAGGATACACCAAATACGATGACATATTTTGGGTTTCCATGCTCGTAATTACTTAAAAGAAGGTTTCAATCTACCGAATCATAAATCTCATATAATGAATCTATCTTTTTACAGCTCCAGTTTCCGACAGATTTCAAAATGCCTTGGGTTTTCTGTAAACCAAACAAAGTTATATTGGTTCGTAACTCTACAGGTCTTTATGCAATCATTTCTATCAGTTTTCGCCATTTTTTTAAATGATAAATTTAGATGATTGAAACTTGTTTAATTGATTTTAATGACTGAACCCTTAATCAATTATCATATAATCCAAATAAGTAATATTTTCAAAAATTCACTACCAGCAGTAAAATGGGGCAGTAGAATCAAAATTTTAAAGTTAATGACCGAATCAACTAGGGCAGTTTTATGTATGTTCTATTTTCTTGTTGATATGTGTTTTTTTTAGAATGATTGAGTAATTCTATTATCACAATTAAGTGATAGTTTTCATGATTTTGTACAAGTTTATTGTTAAGGAAATCTTGTCAGTTGTAACTTGAAATTCCCATAAATGATTGTAGGCCATGAATATTTTTTTCAATCGCCGCCCATTACGTGGACAACTAATGAATGTCGAAAACAAGTGACCGAACAACACATAGATTCAAGAATGCGCATAAGTTGATTATCAATGCTGTTTGGTCACAACTTTATTGAATATTTGAGTTTTTAGATTAGATATTCTCTCTGTTACATTGGCTTGTAAAAAAAGTAGAAAATGCAAGAAACTATATCTTTTTTTACTAGCTCATACTTCATTTTGATGCTTTACTGTATTATCTGACACACTAACGATTTAGTTTCAAACGTTGCATTATGTGTTTGAATGTGACCGAAAACGTTGTTTTTCACTTAGTAAATCGCAAACGGTTGTGTAACATTTTGCTTTCTCCTTAAAACATACAGCACTTTTTCACTATTTAAGTGAGCAGTATTACTAAGTAGTTGTAAACATCTGACATACACATTTTTTCTTATTTGTTCCGCCTTTTTATAAAATAACGTTTTCAGATATTTTGAAGTTGAATTGAATTTACTTGCCTTCATGATCCGAAACCAGATCCCTTACGAGCCGATTGCAATAATTGACCGCCGTAGCATATTTATTCACGATCATTTGTCTGGAGTGACGGTCGTGATTTAGAGATTCCCGCGTTTGATTGTGCATGCATGGTACACAAATTTAACAATTTATTTGAAAAAACGGATAATCTTTTCATTAAAATCATACGCTTTATGATTTTTTTCATGACAATATTATTTTCCGACGTTGAAAAGGGAGGTGAAATATAGGCTTTCAGGAGACTTGTCAGTGATAGCCTTTTTTCATATTTTAACGTTTTTTTATTTGGAAAATTTTGATTGTGTCTGTTAAGTTAATTGACAACCTCTATGCCTTAGTAAGCTATCCACATATTATATACCTGTCTATCGTTGAAGCCTTTTAATCTCTAAATGCATTTTGGTATTTTGTCGTCGCGTTACTGTCATATACACCTTATCGCTATTTGTCCGCCATTACTGCACATCACACAAGTTCCCGTAAAATTTTGACGTCATAATAGAAAATATCTGACGCCACAATGGAAAAGTGATTGTTGTCTGACGTCAAAAGTTCGAGCGGGACTGATTCTCGGGTCAAGCGGGATTAGCGATAAGGTGTATTGACATATACCCCCCCCCCTTTTTTTACATTACTGTAGATAGTTGCTTCTACTTGACCTTTACAACACTATTTCCGTCTGTATTTTTAATATGCATTAATGTCGACGAAATTTAGTAATCCTTCAAACGCCAGTGTCACTGACAGAGTTAGCTATCCATGTTAGTCCCCTTTTTGCTTCAGTATTCCGTATGTTTCATGTAATTTTGGGGCCTACACTTGGCTTCGAACATTCTTCTTAATGCCAATTGTTTAAGGAACAATAATGTATTATCTGCCCATTGATTTGGAATTAAGATATGTCAGAAACATTTCTATTGGATAAAATAATGGAACTATACCTATGTAATGATGGACATCGGATTAAACCCACCTTACCATTTGTACGTCATCAAATCAAGCGATTATATAGTCTGCATTATAAAGTCAATAAATCATCTTCTTATTATATTATTCACAGGGAGCATATCAGAAACGCGAGTGCACCTTGTCAGAAATTGTCTTTTATCCATACCATTTCGTTTGGATAGGCTAATTTGTTTATATGGTTTGTATGAACGATTTTTCATTTAGACTATAATACTTGAAAAAGCTTGTCTTACTTAAAAAGATATAGCTTGTCAAATCTTAATTGAAAAGTGTAAATGTACAAAAACGAATATGTTAGAAATAGAGGATTCCTTTACAATCACAGGTAAGTAGTTATTCTAATACTTTCAATCAATTATTTTATGTTCTATTCAATACTTCATTGCCATTAGACACTATAATAAAGTTTATGACAAACAATCAAATAAAAAATAATACAGTTGACTTAATTGTTTCTTCTTTTTGATTAATTATTAATTATTTGGCAAAACCTTTCGGAATTTAGGGTCCTCAATGCTCTTCAACTTCTTACTTGAGTTTGGCCTTTAGAACTTGTTTTATTCGAGCGTCACTGATGAGTCTTTTGTATCTATGATGAGTTTATTTACAACTACCATGTCGAGGCCATTGCTGGTGGAGGTTTCCTCCCCGCGGGTATCACCAGCCCAGTAGTCTGCACCTCTGTGTTGACATGACATATTATTGATATGGTCATTTTTATAAATTAACTGTTTACAAAACTTTAAATTTTTCGAAATAATAAAGATTTTCTACCCCCAGGAAGAGATTACCTTAGCTGTATTTGGCAAAACCTTTGGAAATTTTGAACCTCAGTTTTCTTCAAATTGTACTTAATTTGACTTTTGATTTTTTTTTATTTGTTCGTCACTGATGAGAAGTTGGTAGACGAAACGCGCGTCTGACAAAATTCGAATCCTGGTATCTGTCATGATTTTATTACCAACTTTACGTTAATATACATACGTGTTTTCTAAAATAAATGAAGAACCAACCTAGAGTCAAGAACCTTACAATTCGTGTTGTTTTCATTTCTTACAGCACTTGGTCGACACCTCTCCATGTGGAATATCAGTCCCCGAGGTTATCATCAGCTCAGAAGTTAGTACTTCGGTACTGACATGATTTATAACAAACCTTTCTAAAATTGTCCGTTTATGAATTTTGAAATTATAAAGAAAGTAAGGTTTCAACTCCTACAGGCAAAGTTGACCTTAGATGGATTTGGCTATTTTTTTAAGTATTTGTTGGTCATATAGCTCTTCAACTGTTTCGGTTTTTCATACATCCTCGGCTTTCAAATATTCGGCTTTGAGCGTTCCTGATAAAGGTAAATCCAGAAAAGCGCTTCGGACGCATAACATTATTTAACGTGTGGTTTTCATTTTTTCACGTCTATTTCATTCTTGGGAGAAGGCGTTTTAATACTTGTATGCTTAACTGAAGTATTTCGTTGTTTATGGTTTTTTTTTTATATATTTATCGAGAAGCATATTCTTGATGATTTTTTTAACAACCATTTTGTCGATGCCACTGCTGGTTGAGGTTTCCTACACGAGGTTATCACCAGCCCAGTAGTCAGCAATTCTGTGTTGACATAATATCATTGATATGGTCATATTTATAAATTAACTGTTAACAAAACTTTGCATTTTTCGAAATATTAAGGATTTTCTACACCAGGAATAGATTACCTTAGCTGTATTTGGCAAAACCTTTCGGAATTTTGATTCCGCAATGCTCTTCAACTTCGATATCTTTGAGGAGTTTTGTTTTACAACCACTTTGTCGATGCCACTGCTGGTGGTTACTCCCCGAGAATATCTGTTTGATATGATCATTGATATGGTCGTATGCATAAATTAACAGTTTATAAAACTTTGAATTCTTCGAAAAACTAAGGATTTTCTACCATTGGTATTTAGCAAAACCTTTCGGAATGTTCGGGTCCTCCCAGTACAAATGCAGAATTCCTATTTTGATGATGATGGGTGTGTTTAACGACATTGGCTCTATACTGCTCTCGCACGTTCGGTTTTTATCAGTATGTTTAATAAGTCCAATATTTAAGCAAAACATAAAATGTGCCACCTCCTCGGAAACATGTACTATGAAATTGAGTACTCATCCATGTATAGATGATTCAAATCTGTCAAATGGTTTTACGTGTCTTAAGAATGAGCCATTATTAGTTATTATTGGTATTTCGGTGTTTTCTACTAAATAGGTCGACTGGACAAAAAGGAATGCTGGGTAGAGGCAGCAATTTTGGATTGGCATAGGTCATCTAGTGTTACGTAGTCGCTGTAATTTGCTAATCAAACACGGGGATATATTATGGCAACGTCTTGATATTTCTATATAGATGCCTTCCATGAAATGTTACTTATACGGCTGACAAGTGTTATATAATTCGCTATAAAGTTTGTATTCCAACTTTTTTTAATATGGAGAATAAAATATTTACATAACCCAGGTCACGTCGGACTCAAAATTACCGATAGAAACTTCCAAATGAGATATAAAACTCGTTAACTTAGCTTCATGTTATGTAATGTCCAATTTTGAAAATGAGTAAAGTCAATTAATAAGTGAAGGATACACGATTTCTATTGAATAAAAACTCATCAAAGTTACCAGGTTTATTGTTCAGTACGCCAGACGTATGTTACGTCTACACAAGGTCCAAAAGCGGCTCTCGAATCAAAAGAGCTGGAAGGCCAAATCAATAACTATGATGTCTTGATGAGCATTCGAAACAAATACCATAGGTCAATAATACCCTTTTCATGTATATAATATAATCGTAAGCTTATAAGATTCTAAATCAATTAACTAACACCGATATTTCGAGGAATAAGTAGATATGAATAAAATGATGAAACAAAGTAAAAGGAATAATGTATCTGCAAATATAATGATCAAATGACCACTGTTTCAGAAATTTCAATGATATTTCAGATTTAGATTAAACATTTCATGAAATTTTATTTGACTTAAAAGTACTTAATTCTTATTGTTGATTGCTTAATAACTAGTGTTAAATATTTTATGTATATTCAAGAGAACAAATGAATCAATTTGGTATTTTCTACCAAGCAGGTCGACTGTAAAAAAGGAATGGGAAGGGCAGAAATTTTGGATTGCAATAGGTCATCTATGGATCCTCTGAGGGTTATTGCAAGGGTTTCTCCTCCGTAGCATGGTAATCGGATATGACATCCCATTCCGACCAGACATGACATCACATTTTTACATCCCGCACAGTAAAACGCACGTCCCTTTTAGCACAGGTTTTTCAACAGGACAGCAGAGGACAAATCAAGACGACCATATTTCTATGCCGATAAAGTCATCAAAGATACCAGTGACGCTTGAATCCAAACAGGCCAAATCGATATCAAAGTTGAAGGGCATTGAAAACAGAAAAAAAGCTTTTCATTGCTACTCGCAGCTGACATTTTACAATATCAATTTGTAGAAAACCTGATAACCAGTACCTATATCAATGTCTTATAAGTCTTAAATTAATATTTACATATTTTTAATACGCAGATAAAAATGTGGACTAAGCAAACCTTCTCATTCACCTGAAATATTCTAGAACTTTTTGCTCTTCTTTCAGATATGTCACCAATAAGAACACTGCTTCATATAATTTGTGTTATACAAAGTCTACATGTAGTATTCTCTGAAAATGAAAATATATGTGCGCATAAGGAAACGGAAATGACCATAACACGAAGTATTGAAGTTTCTCTGGGAGGTAATATCGGAAGTGTAGACTGCACAGGCAGGGTTACGGTTAAGCAATGTGAAGGCACATGTCTGTCCAAAGCAAAACCAAGTGGGAACAGCGAAACGGGAATGGAACGGGTAAATATATATCAAATTATGACTTTCGAAATTTATACAAATACCGCTTACAGTCCCTAATCCTAACCTTGCATTTGTTTCGCCCACAGGTTCAAATCTACTAGGATTTACTTAAATATTAATTGTTGTTCTATTAGTAAAGAAATTATCTGTATGAATTAAAGGAGACGTTGGATAGACGTCAATGAGACAGAAACTCAACGACAAAATAAAATAAAAGAAGGGTAATTTAATAACGTAATTTTGACAAAGGTCTCCTCTACATTACTTCAGTTAAATGTTTGTCATAAGGGTATCAGTTACACTTCAGTCTCACTAGTTACAAACTGGCTTAACTATTAATGACACCAGATATCCTTATCCGAAACCGCAGAGGGATCCGAACCCCGAGGAGCAATTAATGAAAAGTTTGTAACGGTGGGTGAGTAAAATCTGGATCCGATTCTCACGGAGGAACATTAAATCGGATCCAGATTTTACTTCCCCACCGTTACAAACTTTTCATTAATTGCTCCTCAGGATTCGGATCTCCCTCCTCGTTTCGGATCGGGATACCTGGTGTGATAATGCTTGATTTTTATTGTTTAGATTCGACTTGTTCTTTAGATTTTAGCGTGATCAATATCAATCATTTGTACTGTATCATTTTATTTATCTATATATTAAAAAACAACTCTATTTTGAAATCAAAGCATATTTAATACTTTCCCGTTAAAGTATGAGATTTTTTTCTTATTTTACAGACATGTCAGTGTTGCAGGGAAACAGGACTTACGAGTAAAACTGTTATTTTAGACGAATGTTATGATGGCACAGAATTAATTGCAGACTTTAAACCAACGACTTCAGTAACAGAACCTTCTGGTTGTTCCTGTTTACAATGTAGAAACTAATGTAAAATTATCCCCTTTAAATAAAATGTCACTGGATATTTGTTTGTATTTGTCCGTCTAGATAAAATGAGTTTCAGTGTCATAGTATCAGCGAAGTTACAATATCATGTATATGATATTTTATCCTCGGGATCTTTTTTAGTACAAATTTTAATCCGTTTTTATTTTTTTTTGAGACGTCAAAAATTGTCATACCCGTCCGGCGTTAAAACATTGCATGATAAGTGAGACATTTGATAAACTTTCGGACGTACTTCTTTTACCGCCGAAAACCAAGTTCAATTTATGTCAGCATCCTTCGTTAAATACTACCCCTCCCTTTTTTTAGTTCAGAATATCATAATATGATAGGGTATAGAGTTATGGCAAGCTCAGTTCTAATAAATACTGAACTATGAATAAAGGAAATATTTGGTATACTTCAATAAGACACCAACCCAACAATACAGTAAAATGAAAGTCTTTTAGAGGTAAACATGCGATCTATGACAATAGAAAAGTGTAAACTACACATGGAAACAAAAATACGATAAAAGTGGCCAAAGGAACAATACCCTACAAAACAGGAAAATGAACAATTATTATAGGGAAAGAAAAATCGTCGTTTTAGTCTTAAACTTTGTATGGAGTTTCCCGTGTGAAACTGATATATCTAAATCTAGAAAAAAGAAAATTATTGCTGTTTATTTTAGATTTGTTTACAGGCAGTTAGTTTCCTTGGGTAAAATTCTGCAGTATAATTAGATAACTCTAGATAATTCATGGTAAACATACCATAACGGTTAGTGTTACTACTTTTTTTCTTCTTTTTAATGTGGTTAAGATTAATCTGCATATTGAGTTTGTCTGTGATACATTACAATACAGGAACAAGTCTGTTGTAAAATGGGCGCAATCATTACACATAGGAATACCTGCAATATTTCGATTAACTTTATTGCCAAAACGTTCATAGAATGTGTGAAGGAGAAAAATAATTACTATAATCATTTCATTACAGTTCCAGCAAGTGAATCTTGCATATCTACCTTTTTCTTTACAGAAGAAGGCATAAGTCTAGGTAAACATGATTTATCTATTAGTTGTTATTGGCTTTGGACTATCTGTCAGTAACTGCAAGTACTCTTAGATCGGTACTTTGAGGCGTTTGTCTTTATGTCAGTGTGTTTTGTGCTTCGTGTCAATTAAATGAGCCAAGAAATTTCAACTGATTTTTACAGTTTGTGTTCTTAAGTTGGGCTTTACACATTTGTCCCAAGTAAGGAAAGGACTGAGCGCTCACAAACATGTTTAACACCGCCTCTTTCTATATGTGTCTGTCCCAATTACGGAGTTTGTAATTTAGTGGTTGTCATTAGTTGCTGTCTGTCATATATGTTTTTCGTTTATTGTTTTGTCATAAATCGGGCCGTTTGGTTGGGATCTTTTATAGCTGACTATACTGTATGATGTTTGCTCATTGTTGAAGGCCGTGTGGTGATTTTTAGTTGCTAAAATTGATTAAATATAATAGTACTGAAATATAACTGTCATCTGAATTGAAAAGATCATCTCAAAAGTATGTAATTTATCTTAGCCATCCAAAGAGGGTTTTACATTTGTATCCCTTGGTTCGATAGCTTCCTTGTTAACAGAGACCCTCTATTAAGGAAATCATGGTAGGAGACACAAGCACTGACATAAACTGTATCAACTAGGAGATATATACTTCATTTGTAGACGCTGCTGTAATGTTTCTACACAGAATTGGAAAGGTACCAAAAGGAAATTTAATGTTTTTCGTAAAGTTAAATTCAGATCAACCCTCGATAGATTTCAATTTTGGGATTTCAATCTAAAATGGCTTTTCTGGTTATTCGCATGTCTCAAAAGCCTAGCATTCGCAGCCAAGTGCTACAATGTATGATAACAACTAGAAATTAACATGATATAATCAACTGAACAAAAAATTAATTCCACAGACCGTTATTTTAAAAGAAAATCGGTCAATGATAACACGAACACAATATAGAACTAAGAGTACTCACAGATATTGATAGCGCCCTCAAGGATCAATAATACATAAAAGGATAACAAAAATTACAGAAATATATGACAGTACAGCAGTCCACACCAGTCTACAACAACCGACTTCCCCGAGAAAAGGACTAACTAATAAAGACAGACATAAACGAGCAAGAAATGATATGGTTTGCCGGACTAGGTACAATTACAAAATGTAGTGGGGTTAACCAGTTAAACCTATACGCGTTAATGTTCTCTCTCGAGACAGTAAAACACACAATAAAAATAGCTGCACAGCTCAGCTACCAACACACCTTATATAACAGAAAAAAAAAGATGGAACATAGTTTGGAAAGGATAAAAAAGTAAAATTATTAGAATACTGCAATACGTCCCCTGAATGTGTTTCACTCGCGGGTCACAAACAACAAGTTCATAAAAATTAGTGTTAATATTGAAGTCTAAATAATACGACAAATTTTAAAAGATTTTTTATTGTGTAAACGATTGAATTAAGTACACACAGAAGCAAACATCAATCAATTTGAACCTTACAAAGTTTATATTTGAACCTTACAAAGTTTATATTTTCGACAAACTTTTGGTTTAAAATATCATTCTCATTCAATTTTTAGACACTACTCATAATTTGCTGAAATAAAAAATAATGTATTTTTTAAGCATTCTTTAAGAAATTATAAATCAAGATGTAACAGTTTCAAAGTACATTCACGAAGCGTTGATACTGCAAATACAAGATGAAAAGACTTTTGATGGCACTAGTAATGAATTAAGGAGAAATTGGCACTTCCACTTTATAAAAAAATTCGAATACCACTGAAACTATGTCCAAACTTTAAGCGATTGCTACTTGTACAATAAAGAATTGTTCAATATCATTGTGGATATCTTTAAATAATCCGGCAATGAGGAAATTTCACAAAGTCATTTTAACATGTCAGTTATATATAATTTCAGTTTATAACTGTATAGTATTTTAAAATTGTCAACAAATATTCGGTGTGATGAGAAAAGGAAACCAGTTTAAAGTTAAGCCAGAGTACAGTGATAATTACGGTCGTGTTGTGAACTTATTGATAAGCCCAGAGAATTGACCGAAATACAGTCCTAAATTGAAATTTCCTTGAACTTGGACATATTTTTATCCCAAGTAAATGTCACGATTTTGATAAGTCAGTTTCAACCTCAGTTCTCAGTTTTCCGTCGACATAATGGGTCGGTTTGTTGGTTTAATTTTCCTAGCGTGTATGGCTAGCTGTTACGGTATGTGAACTTTTGTTATTTACCCCTACATGTCTGAAATTAATCAAACAAACAGAACACTTATTATTTGATACCCCAAAATTTAGAATTAGCTTCTACTATTTCTTGTATACCGTTACTATTGGAAAAAAAGTTTCATTATATAAATGTTCAGTAGACAGACCAAATCTACGTTGAAGTACATTTGGTTTTTTTTTGCTTTCAACACATTTGTTAATTTATACAAAAAATAGCAGATCAATTTGAAATGGTGAATTTTCTGCAATTATTCTATTGAGCTATGCACAGACAAAAAAGAACATGATTGGAAATATGTATATATATTTATCTATTGTATAAGTCTTTATTGAACATGAACTTTGTTACCAATTTTTTTGTAAACGAAAAATGACATGTACTCTTAAAACGTTCAACACAAAATGAATTCTCATCCATGAAAAAAATCCTTAGACGGATACTAAAACTTTTATTGGTGAAACATGAAGAGAATTAACCTTTTTTAACAAAACATCTGGAACAAGCACAATCTTTTCGTCTATTCGTCTATCTGATGTTAAATTTTAAGATATTGATTTAGTTATGCTAGACTGGCCATCTTTTTATCAACTTCTTTATGAAAAAGGTTGTTTTATATAAACAGAAATTTTATATGTAGCGACAACAATTGCTCCTGTAATAAATTTAAATAGTATCGAACTGAGATAAGGAAGTACATAAATGTATCAATAAAAATGAAAATCGTTTCAATAAAAATGAATTGCATATTAATGAAAGTGCAATTACTATTAACAAAAATGCAGTGCATATCAATGAAAATTAATGAATTTCAGAAAGCATAATCCTTTTACTTTACGTTCCGCTATATAGATGATGTTTTCTCACTGAATACGTCAAAGTTCGATGACTATGTTGAACGCATCTATACCATAGAACTTGAACTAAAGAATACCACAGACACAGTTAAGGCTACCTCATATCTTGACTTACATCTTAATAGATAAAACATAGTACATGTAAAAATAACCGCAGTGCATAAGAAAAAGAATGCAGTGCATATCAATAAAAACGCAGTGCATATCAATAAAAACGCAGTGCATATCAATAATGATGAAGTTCATATCGATAAAATGAAACGAATGCCAATAAAATTGTATGCATGTAAACAAAAAGGATGTGCATTATGATAAATAATAATCAAAGTACTGAAGTACTGAACATCGGATTGGTCACAAGCACTTGTCTCAGAAAAAAAATCACATCTCTATACCTTAAAGTGAGGTTAAGGTACATAGATATTTTTTTTCAGAGACAAGTTAGTGCGTGGATGATGAATAAATGACAGGGAATTCAACCTCACCGTAATAACTATTATATTGTAGTGATACAAATCAGTATACTCTGGTTTGTTGTTATATATATATATTAATATTTATATATAACAGTTACATGTATATATAATTTTCATCCATTTGTATATCATTCTATTCTTCTATTCTAATAATAGCGCAGTACAAGTGCATGGTGGACACTCTTCTGTAATAATTCGATTTTTCTAATAGATTGGATTTGAGTAGGCATTCATATTTTCCCGCAAAACGTTCTTGAGATATTCTTCCGCATGCGTTAACTCAAATTTTCGGTATTCTTGATTTGTTATTGACATATATATATTTCTCACGACAAAACATTTTCATATCGTTAATCTATGTTCTTAAAAATTATTTTCATGAATATTTATTGATGAAATTGATATATAACAAGCGATAAGGAATGTTATTTTGCGTTCGGTTATCAGTCAAAAACGAAAGTCACGTGGGTAGAAATGTCTGTGGCAACAATACACCGGAATGCCCCCACGGTCATCCGATGTAAAAATGAAGTGCATACTCATTAAACAGTGAATAACAATGAAAATACAGTACATATCATTGAAAATAAGGTGTATGCTAATACAATGAAATGCCTATCATTAAAAGTATAGTGCATAACAATTAAAAAGGCAGTGCATATCAATCAAAAAATTAAGTGCATATGAATAAAAGTGTTGTGCATATCAATACAAATGCAGTGCATATCAATAAAAGAAGGCAGTGCAAATCAGTAAAAATTGCAGTGCATTTCAATAAAAAAAAATGCAGTGCATATCAATGAAAATGAATGAATATCAGAAAGCATTTTCATTTTAATTTGACGCTCCGCTATATAGATGATGTTTTCTCACACTGAATACGTCAAAGTTCGATGACTATGTTGAACGCATCTATACCATAGAACTTGAACTAAAGAATACCACAGACACAGTTAAGGCTGCCTCATATCTTGACTTACATCTAAAAATTGTCAAAAAGGATGAAATCAGCTTTCCAATTGCGAAATTTCCATTTCTATGTAGTAGCATTCCAGCGGCGACTTCATATGAAATATACATCTTTACGATGATAGATTATTCAAAAGCTTGCGTTTGCTATCATGATTTTCTTGATTGGGTGTTGCTTTTTACAAGGAAGCTATTAAAGGGTTCCAAGTGGAAAAGTTGAAGTCATTCCTTCGAAAATTTTACGGAAGCCATCAAGAGTTACCTGGTTGACCGTTATTGGATATCTGTGTCACATTTGACCACGGATATTTTCCAATTGCCGTAACCACAATCAATAAACAATATAATACATTTTATAGCTACAATCCCGTCCTCTGTTTGGGACATCACCGAATGAGACTCGTAACGTTACTTACCATGAGCAACACGGCGGATGCTACTGGTGGAGCCTGGTTTGCTTACTCTTCCATAAAACATGAGCTCACCCCAGTTTGCAGTGGGGTTCGTGTTGTCCAGTCTTTAGTAGTGTGTTGTGGACTTATTTGTCTTTTCGTTCTTATTTCGGTTTTTCCCATCGCGTTTTCAGTTGTTTTGCGACTGATGAATTTTGAATGTCCTCTTAGAATCTTCCGACTCTTTTTTCCATAAAATGCAGTGTATGTCAATAGAAATAAAATTATTATGGAACTTAAAAACTGAATGATTTTTTGCAGGCGATAATACATTTTGGAAAAGATATGTTAAGTTTTTCAATGAAACACTGCCAAACAACAGTACCCTTATGGAGATGTGGAGAGAACATTTAAAAACATGGCCAGGAGTGGTAGGCTTTCCAAAATAATTATTAATATGATTGTTGTTGGACATGCGGACATGCATAAGTGAAAAGTAGAAATTCTAAATCCTCGTGTATTTTAGAAACATTTTGTAAAAATAAACATGATCCGTGAGAATTTGTTTTTCGATGAAAGTAACGGAATTAAGAAAAAAGAAATAAATACACAAATGTTTAGAAGCAACAGAAATAAATACAGAAATGTTTGAAAGCAACGGGAAAAATACTTACAACGTATAGAAACGATCATTTAGGTAATTTTTGAACTTCTGTGCAAAAGTGTTCAATCGAAAAACATTTGTTTGAAATCATAAAACTTCTTAAGACATTATAGGCTAGTTAAATGTGCAATAACTTGGATAATTGGACAATGTTCAGGGTTTTGGTAACCATTTATTAACTGAGTTTTCCTAAGGCTACCAAGAGTTTTCGTGCAATAACTTATGAAGTATTCTACCAATGTCTTTCACATTTTAATATGCTGTTACAGATGTATAAATGGAGGTCAAGTTCAATATTGATGATTTTCACTTTTTGCTGTTCAGGAGTTATGGTTCTTGAAATTTGGCACTTAATGTGGTTTCTGTGCAATTACTTATGAACCGTTCAACCAATGCTTTTACAATTTTAATTTGCTGTTACTGATGACAAAATGGTGGTCAAATTTGATATTGAAGAATTTCTTTTTAGCCGTTCAGGAGTTATAGTCCTTGATATATTTGAAATTTGCACTTTATATCGTTTCAGTGCAATTACTGATGAACCGTTTAACCAATGTTTTTATAACTTTAATAATGCTGTTACTGATGATAAAATGGTGGTCTAGTTTGATATTGATGATTTTCATTTTTGCTGTTCAGAAGTTATGGTCATTGATAGATTGGAAAATAGGCATAGAATGTGGCAGGTCAAAAAAGCCTAAAAACACCTTTTGAAATACAGAAAACCCAGTTTGCAGTCAATTTGACAGCTCATTCCTTGCTTATAATTATTGTCGAAACGCTGATGTTTACAGTGCTATGTCAGTAAATTCAGTGTACATAATGAGTTATAACTCATCACAATAAACCTATTTTACTAGTTACATTGTACATGTATTGTCTATTATATATTTTTAGCAATGTATTTTAAAAACTTTGACCAATGCTTTTGACATTGTAGAGTAAAACCCGAGCCAAATACCCTATGCCACCTTTCAACTGTCATGTAACTAACGCACACAATGGACATCATGCAACGAACGGTAAGTATCACAATCAACCTTGTGAATAAAATTCAAAGCAGCTAGTAATAATTTAAACAATATGGTATAAACAATGTCAAATATTATGACACAATTATAAAAATAAGAGGATGTGGTATGATTGCCAATGAGACAACTCTCCACAAGAAACCAAATGACACAGAAATTAACAACTATAGGTCACCATACGGCCTTCAACAATGAGTAAAACCCATACCGCATAGTCAGCTATAAAAGGCCCCGAAATTACAAATGTAAAATAATTAAAACGAGAAAGCTAACAGATATTGTTCACTATGCCGAAAAGAGTATACACTGTCAGACTACGGTATAGTAAAAAAACTTGCGTGAACCTCGCATATATATTAATCGATGCTGTAGTCTTTCGGAATACCGGAAATACCTACTGGCTTTACGGAATACATCTGTTCTTTTCTATGGCCACCTGCGTAATAGGTAATGAATTGATCTAATGAATACGTATTAGCGTCCAACAGTTGCTATAGAGGTAAGTGTTCATCGAGACTGGTTGATATCGTACATCAATAGCTAATTAAATTAGAGTCGCATATGTTAAGGTTTCTGAAATACAAGCTGTGTTCACTTTGGAGATCAAGTAGATTTTAAGCGAAAAAGTGACGGTCAATGGATAGGGCGTTCTTACGATTTTCAAACTGAGCCATTTTAGCGAAATTAAATAAAGAGTAAGTCCATTTAAGCAGCAATTAAAATTCTACGTCCAGGAAGGATTAGAACAATCAAGGTGTTTCTAAAATTGTCCCTTTTTTTATTAAAATAACAAAAACGGAATTATTATAGTCACATATTATTTAACTGGTAAAATATTGGAAAAAATACAAATTAAAACAAAAAGAAATTAAAGAAAAGAAAAACAAACTGAACCTTAAAGAATCGTTGAGTTGTGTAAAATGCAGATATAAGATGCTACAACAAAATTTTTATTTTTAAATATATTTTAGCGGTATGTTGAATGACAATTCTGAAAGAATAATTAAATGTTCGGGCTTGATGTTTGTGATGTCGTATAACAGAAAAAAAGTAAATGCATATGCAATAGCAGTGGTGAAATACTAATACAGAATCAGAAATAGAATAACGAATGTCCTTTATAGAGTTTGAGTGATGATAGATACAGTCAGAGATAAGATAATGAATTTGTATTTATAGTAATTAAGACTCTACAGTTACATCAAACTTAAATATTAATAAGGAAACAAAAGCAATAATTATAATAAATGACAACGCTATGGAATCAGATAGTTAGTTTTCTCGTATGAGTTGTTTAACGTTGTCAGTTCGGGGCCTTTTATAAATTACTATGCGGTATGGGTTTTGCTAATTGTTGAAGGCCGTACGGTGACATATAGCTGTTAACTTCTACGTCACTTGGTCTCTAGTGGAGAGTTGTCTCATTGGAAAATATACTTCATCTTCTTTTTTTTAACTTAAAGAAACCATACTTAATCTTATTTAAAAATACAGGTTAACTGTGGAAATTACGACGAAATTTAAAGGCGCCTTTTATGTGTGTTAAGGGCATACGATACAGTAGAGATCCCTCGTTGATTTTTTCTTGAAATTTTGGTAGAAGGTCAATTTCGATGTGTACTTTTGAAATATGCAAAGAAAAATATACCTTCATGACTTACTTTTTGAGATAATTTGGTTTGAAATTTGCATATTTGAAGGGAAAACCCTGAAATTTCATAAAAAAGGACTTTTAAAGAAAGTTACAATACTTTTGAACGAACAGTCATAACTTAACCGGGTTTTTTGTAAAATGTTCCCTTGATCCTTGGCATGACCATGCTGTAACAAGTTTAAGGTTAAACAAAATTGTTGTTTTCTGAATTTACTTTACTCTAAGTGAAATAAAGAAATTGACAATATTTTTGCGTCTATTCAGAAGTGCAGAAAAAAATCGATCGTTGATTTTTTCTTAAAATTTTGGCGGAGTGTTCTTTAAATATTACTTGATTGATTGCAAAAGAAAAAACTGGGGGTCCATGTGCTTGTTTTTTCAATAAAAGCAATAAACTTTGATTTTTAATTGCAAACGGGACGTTTGCCAATAGGGCGCTAAACTACGTTGAAATAAGTTTTAATCGCAATAACGTCGTAAAATCATTCCCGCCGTTCATGATTACGCTGTCAAGTTCAGTGGTATAGCCAAGTTTTTTTTTTCGAAAGCAATGATATTATTCATTAAAATTTTTAAAGCTGGTTACTCGTAAAATAGCATAAAATATTTGCCAAACCTTTATGAATTGTTACGAATCTTGGACATGCTGGATACAAAAAGTATTCTAGTAAATTACTTTTAGAAAAGAAATGTTCGGAAACATAAAAAGATAAATTTGATAAAAATAAATATTTCATAATCAAAATATAATAATAACAATAAAAATAAATGGGGAATGTGTCCATGGGACACAGATGATGCCCCCGCTTGCATATAACGTTATAAAGGGATATAACTCAAGAACTGTAAAAGTGACGCTACCCAAATTTGTACTTGATCTGAGTTTTGCGGTAATAAGCATTGTGCATAAGTTTCATAACATTTGGTTGAGGCAAACTAAAATTAGAGAACAGAAACAAATATTTCAGAATTTTTTCCATTTGTTAAGGGGCATAACTCTAGAACGGTAAAAGTGACCCCACCAAAATTCAAACTTCTCATGTCTTCTTTGACTGTCCATGACGTTAAAATACTAAATCCCTGGGATGTGTTTTAGTTGATTTTAGTCTCTGATGCATGATTTTTTATTATTAATTGTTTTGGCTTTTAACTAGCTGTCAGTAACTGCGAGTACTCTCAAATCGTACTTTCTTGTTTATTTGACCTGTTGATACTAATTGTATTGCTTTTTTGTTATTTAATGTTATTCAGGGTTATATCTGGTCTATATACCAGCTTTGATAAGTGTTTGGTATAACTATAAATTTTCACTTCGTACTATGAACATCAAAATTATTCATTTTGTAAAAATATTTCCTTTCTCCATTGGTACTATATACACGTATACCTAACAACAAAATTATTTTCATTTACCTGTGTTTAAAGTTAGTGCAAATAGCTGATATTTTTGTTCGAGCATATTGTTTTTCTTTAATTGTTTAACATTTCTTACCGATATAACATGTTACTTTTATTATTCTTCCCTTAGTTTATTTATTTTGTATTTACATTGTGTCATAGGTCAAATTTATTTGTTCAGTGTATGTTCAATGGTGTTAATATGTCCTTTGATTGAGTTAAGCTATTTCAGTTGATATTTTATAGTGTGTCTTTCTATGTTGTGATGTTACACTATTGTTTCGGAAAAAGGGTGAAGGTTTGGTACCATTAAAACGTTTAAACCCGCTGCATTTGTTTGCACCTGTCCTAAGTCAGGAATCTGATGTTCAGTAGTTGTCGTTTGTTGATGTGGTTCATAAGTTTTTCTCGTTTCTCGTTTTTTATATAGATTAGACCGTTGGTTTTCCCGTTTGAATGGTTTTACACTAGTAATTTTTGGGGCCCTTTATAGCTTACTGTTCGGTGTGAGCCAAGGCTCCGTGTTGAAGACCGTACTGTGACCTATAATGGTTTACTTTTATAAATTTTGACTTGGATGGAGAGTTGTCTCAATGGCACTCATACCACATCTTCTTATAGCTATTGATCTGTGTTTTGTGGTAATAAGCATTGTGTATAAGTTTCATAACATTTGGTTGAGGCAAACTAAAGTTAGAGAACGGAAACGAAAAATTCAGCAATTTTTCCATTTGTAAAGGGGCATAACTCTAGAATGGTAAAAGTGACGCCACCAAAATTCAAACTTGATCTGTGTTTTGTGGTAATAAGCGTTGTGTATAAGTTTCATAACATTTGGTTGAGGCAAACTAAAGTTAGAGAACGGAAACCAATTTTGGGACGTACGTACGTACGTACAGACGGACAAGGGTAAAACTTAATGCCCCCTCCGCTACGGCGTTGGCATAAAAAATAATTTGCATCTCAGTCCGACATTAGTCCTTCAACTCATGCAGACAACACAGCTTGGGCATATTTTTAATTATTCAAAAGGTCCCAACAAGACAAAATATGAAACAATTATCAAGTAAGTGGGATAATATAAAAATAAGGACAGTTGGTATGATTGCCAATAAGACAACTATCAACCATATTTCAAATTACGAAGATAAACGCAATTAAGGGTCACCGCACGGCCTTCACCAAAAAAAAAGCCTCACTGTTTAGTCAGTTTTAAAAAGCCCCGACATGAAAATGTGAACAATTCAATCAAGAAAACTATCGGCCTACTATATAGGCATTATATGAACACAAAACCATACCCAAATTAACTCGGGTCAGCTTAGAACTACTCTGAACATGTTCAAAAAGGTGTATATTTAGAGCTGTTTCGAGCAAATTCATGTCGTAATTGTCTCAATAAAGTCCATTACGGTGTAGTTTAACATTTCATAGGAAGTACAGCAGTCGGTATTAGATCATGAAATTGCATGATTTTGTATCAATAGATAAGTTGCCTAAGTTTATTTGTCTTCAGGGTATTTTTAAACCCCCGCAAATGAAAGTTGGGTGGCGTATTGTTTTACACCTGTCCGTCTGTCCGTCCGTCATTCCGTCTATAATACGGGGCTTATAACTGTGTCTTTTAAACTGACAGTTCTTTTTCATACACATATGTATTCCACTGGGTTAAATTCTAAAAATGCCGTTAAACTTTTTAATGTACTTATTCAAAGTCAGGTGCAGTATGAGGCGTTGTCTTTATTAATCATGTTATTTTGTCATTTTGTTGATAGTCTCTATTAAATTTATTTGCACAATTCTCCATACAGTTTTCCAAATGGTGTAGATATTATATATAGATCAAGACAGTACGTTGATATCTAAATTACATTTAATTACTTATTGGTCTTTTTGTTTAGTTGGGTTTCTGTCTCATCGACGTATCATTATTTGCATATCTGTTATTCATTTCCTATATGAAATAAAACATATACAAGAGTATGAATGTGGATTTAATTTTTTTTCTTCACATTTCAAGTTAATACTATTGACCTCAATATCAATGAATGAATATAACAATTTTCATGATATGGCCGATTTTCTTGGCAGGTACTTTTTTTTCAAATTCGCGCAACCGGATTTGTGACGTCACTGGATTTTCCGCAAATGTGACTACATTTAAAACGACGTCGCGAAATTTAATCGTTCTTATTAGAAACTTCGCGAAATTACAACGTTCTGATTAACAACGTCGCGAAAACAACACGAACAGTTTTGAAAACGTTATTATCTGCCCCTGCTACTGTATCGTATTCCCTTAAATGCAGAAATTACACGTCACATCGAAACAGTAATTTGTTCATAAATGAATATATGTTTGAGTCCTTAAAATAATTCTAAAGATATGAAAAGATTTACAGACACTGAGTTATTTTCTTTGGAGTTGAGGCGATAACTCACTATTTATTTAAAACTTATGGTGAATGAAATAAAACAAATTGAGGTTTGATATATTCCTCGATGTTTGGCATTGAAAACTATCACAAATTACTACCGGTATGTGGTTTGCGAGGATGGATTAGCAATTGTCCAAAGACTTAAAATAACAGGAAGATGAGTATTATCTATTCATGATTTTTTTATGAAATTAGAGATGATTATGGTAATTTTCTTTAGAAAAATGTGTGAGTTTTCCAAAGGGCACGTGTGTCGACTTCCCTCTTCAAAACATATAGTTATAAATGGCAAAGTTAATTCTTTTGTTTTCGGTATGTAAAACAACCCACCCCTTCAAAATAAAATCAGATTAAAAGTTGAAGCAGCTAGTGCACAACTTCATGTCCCACCTAAAGAAGAATCAGTGCAAGTTTTTGGGAATTCCGTCACTTTGTTTTCAAGGAGTCGAGCCAATATGTAGTCATAAGCGAATTTAGAGGGTCTAGTTGACAGAGGTCTAGAGCGTGTTTGGCGACAATTTAGTAAAAAAATATTTTTCTTAAAATCAATATCCGTATGAAACGAAATGTTTGAGCAAATTGATTCAAGTATAAAGTTGAGGTTTCAAGTTGTTTCTACTCTAAAAGTCTGTTTTGAGTTTTTTGCCTGTGGTATAAATAAATTGAGATCAAGCATATCTCGAATATGATTAGCCAATGACCAAACCATATAAACCAGTGTAATTGATTTTCCAAAACGGTCTTAGTTCGGAATAATCAATTAACAAATACGAATATAGCTTAGGGTTTTGAACTATTTTCAAACTGGCTACAAACAAATAATCATGATTCATTGCATACACTTCTTCAAAACAAAGACTGTTTTCACATTTACATTTCGACTTTAGCCAGGAAGCTACCTCTTATTTTCACCTAGCACCTCAGAATGGAACAAACAGTGGTTGACTCTTATTTAGCATGTTGTACAATCTAATCTAAGTATAGAAGAGATGTGTTTTCGTTATCCTCGTATGCTTATATGTACGAGCACGCGAGTTAAGATAGATCTGAATTTTAATCAGATTGCATGTTGTAACGTTATCTATCGGAAGAGAGAGAGAAATTATTTCTTTAACAAGAAAATTATACCCCACATAGAAAAGCAGCTTCATTAAGAACCCATATCAGTTTTTCTACATTTTATATTAAAAAAGGTAAAATTATGCTTCTTTATGTACCAATTATCTGATCGTTCATGCCAAACAGGCATTTAGGTTCACGATTGCATTTCTTTTTTTTAAAGAGAGCAACTTGTTGTGTATATCTTATTGTATAAAAAAGGAAGGTTTTTATTCACCAATGTTTGGGGCATATTTCACGTGTATACCATAGGTATTCTAATTTCCAGTACATGAACTCCATCCTGGTGATATTAGAGTTGTTGCAGCCTTGGGAGATTCTTTAACGGTAAGATTTTCATTTCTGTCCGTGAATTAACAAGATAAGAAATTACATGACTAGACATGCACACCTGTATTGTATCAAACATTTTTAAAACTGGGGATTAAGCCTAGTCCAAAGACGAGTCACTTTACCAATTGATTAAATCCAGTCTCTAATCAAGTTGTTTAACACCATTGTTATCTTAATCTTCACAACAAAGAATAATGCTTCATAAATGTTGAAATTGCGATAAAATTTCAAACATAAATGTAAATATAAAATATTTTGTTTTTGTCCCCAATAATTGATAGCATGATCATCATTGCTTCCTTTCATCAACACAGATAGATGAAGCATACTTTTTTTTCGGAACTCCAGAAATACTTGAGGGAAACATACTAGTATGACTCTATCAAGAAACAATTATAAGAAATAGATACTTTCTCTCAGAAAACTTCAATTTTATATTATTAGAACCTAAATTTGTACTTAGTTATTCTTTGAAACATAATTGCTGTTATGTATTATTTCTGTAGGCCGGAAATGGTATTCTAGCAACCAACATTCTTGGAGATTTGGTAGAATATAGAGGACATTCTTGGTGGTAAGGCTAGTATTTTAACATTTCTGGGGCTCTTTTCACAAAAAATCTTGTACATTTCAGTATACCTTACGATCAATTTTAATCGTAAGATTTTTTGTGAAAAGATTCGCTGTACCTCAAAATTTGGAATCAACAACATACCCGCATTTTCCAGTGGCAGTCAAAATTTACCACTAGTCATCCTGGTTGACCCACTTTGAAAAACCTACCTATTTTATTGTTCAATTGTTCCTGAATATTCATGAACTATTTGTCACTGGACCAAAAATCAATCACAAACAGTTCTGATAGAATATATGTTTTAGTTACACAAATAATTACTTTATATACATGCATGCAGTTTCTTTAATTGTGACAATAAGGAATCAAAAAAAATATGATATTGAGATGTTATATCCATTATTTATAATTTTTTTTTCTTTCAATAGAATTAAAGCCAGTCAAACAACAGTGTGTTCAACTCGTGAATATTTCCGAAGATGGTTATGGATATTCTTGTTTGTTCATTTATAGTAGCCTTTAAGTTACAATGTATATAATATCTCCAGTATTTGCCCCCCCCCCTTTTCCCCTCAATTTTAGCCGATCAGTCTTCGCCTGTGAGTATTTCTATGAAGGTTAATTCAGAAATTGGCATCGACCGCAGCAAAAACTAAGTTTTCACTTGATTTATAGCAAACGAAGCAAAGAGACATAACTCTATTCGACCAATTTATCATAGCTACGAATATCTGCGTTACATACTGAGTTACATGGTGTTTGAAACATACTATTTCTTGTTTTAAAATCAGAAGATCTTGCATAAAATTTAAATAATTCTTGATTTTCATTTCTTCTCAAGCATTGGAGGGGATGGATCATTAGATAGTCCTGTTTTAACGATGCCAAGTAAGTACATAGCGAGCGAGATAAATTTGAGGTTAAAAACCATATAAGTATAGGGCAGATGTATGGTATATCAGCAGTATTATCTATATCTGGAATTTATATATGTATTCAATGGAAATCTTAGATGTAGGGTGAGTTTGTCTTCGTTATTAGTTGTGATTTATTTACCTTGTACACTTTGTTATACCCTATTCACCTTGTACACTTTGTTATACCCTATTCACCTTGTACACTGTGTTATACCCTATTCACCTTGTACACTTTGTTATACCCTATTCACCTTGTACACTGTGTTATACCCTATTCACCTTGTACTCTGTGTTATACCCTATTCACCTTGTACACTTTGTTATACCCTATTCACTTGTACACTTTGTTATACCCTATTCACCTTGTACACTGTGTTATACCCTATTCACCTTGTACACTGTATTATACCCTATTCACCTTTGTACACTTTGTTATACCCTATTCACCTTGTACACTTTGTTATACCCTATTCACCTTGTACACTTTGTTATACCCTATTCACCTTGTACACTGTGTTATACCCTATTCACCTTGTACACTGTGTTATACCCTATTCACCTTGTACACTTTGTTATACCCTATTCACCTTGTACACTTTGTTATACCCTATTCACCTTTGTACACTTTGTTATACCCTATTCACCTTGTACACTTTGTTATACCCTATTCACCTTGTACACTTTGTTATACCCTATTCACCTTGTACACTTTGTTATACCCTATTCACCTTGTACACTTTGTTATACCCTATTCACCTTTGTACACTTTGTTATACCCTATTCACCTTGTACACTTTGTTATACCCTATTCACCTTGTACACTTTGTTATACCCTATTATCTAACCGAACAAAACATTTTCAATAAAATGATTTTTCTTTAAATCATAACTTTATTTGTTGTAGTCTATAAATTATATTCCAAGGAATCACAACTCCTGTAAAAATCATAGATCAGTGCTGATTTTCGAACTCGCCAAAGACATTGCGGGAAAAACCTATGATTGAAATTTCTCAACTGTAGGTGGTTTGAGTGCCTACAATGCAATTTTCTACATACATAATATTTCCAAGGGCATAACTCTGTTAAAAAAGTTGATAGGCACCGATTTTCGAACTCATTCGATATCATTACTGATATAAACCTTTGATATAAATTTCATAACATCTGTCAAGAAGTGTACACTTAAGAGCGCTTACAATGCAATTATCTATAGAATTTACATTTCTAAAAGACATAATTCGTGTAAAAATAATTGATCAGGGATGATATTCAAACTCGTCCCAGACATTGCTGATATAAACCTTTGATTCAAATTTCATAAAAATCTGGCAAGTTTAGATTTGACAGAGACTATCAAGATCGCAAAACTTTATAAAGGATAAAATATTAGTATATAATTAAAGACAACGACACTCTGAAGAGGATCTAGAGTTCAAGGCACAAGGACATGCTGAGTTGAAACACTAGTCCAGAACAAGTAATAAATAAGACGATCATTTATCATAACTGTAGAATTGTTCTGAGTTAACATTCTATATAGTGGGAAAAATATAAAGGCAATAAATACTTCGACCAATTTTCTATTTCAAATCAATCAAATATTCAATTTAACAAAAACCATAATTTATTTACAGATATATTAAAGAAATTTGGTCAATTTTTATATGGATATTCCACCGGAACAGGAGGCCGTGGGAGCGCTGGCTCTAGACTTAATAAAGCCGATCCTGGAGATACATCTTAGTAAGTTTGTGAGGATATACATATACGTCTGAATTTTCAACAATAGAAGCAAAAGAAGTGAAATTTTCAGATTCCAACTCAGTGATAAGTAGTGTTTTTGTCCTGCACAATACTATAACGAATGCAAGTAGATATATAAGAAGATGTGGTATGAATGCCAATGAGCCAACTATCCACCAGAGGAAAAATAACGTAGAAATCAACATTTATAGGTCACCGTACGGCCTTCAACAATGAGCAAAACTCATACCGCATAGTAAGCCATAAAATGTTTCTCTGTAACTAATGCATGTCCACAATGTGTTTTTGGATATGACGAAAAAAGACTTTTAACAAAAATAAAATATGTACAATTAAAATAATAATACTGTATCAAAGAATACTCACAGTTACAAAATGTACTTAAAAAAAGTAAAAAGTACTTAACCTTAAATAATAACTTGACTGTCATACATTATAAATATCGATCGGTGAACATCCGGGTAGTCTAAACATCATAAACAAGACAAACACTTTTGCAATGTGAATAATAAGTTTGTGTCCAGAATTTTAATACAGAAAGGAAAATAAAGGAAGTTATAAATAAGCAAGTTAATATTAATCTGCAGCAAATACAAGACGCAATCATTAACAAATAACAGCATATTTATAATATATGTTTTAAGCAACAAAAAAAAATATATTTGATGAGAAATTCTTCCACTGATTTTTGAAATAAAAAGTAAAAATTTTGGTTTTTAACTAATTAAACAATTTTTATTCGTTAGATCTCTATGTTCATTCTGTATTATACACGTATTACATTTTGCCCGACGATGGCAGACATGTTAACATTATATATGTTACCGTGACTTAAATAATGATACATATATTTGATAAGATAAAAAAAAAGCTATATAAGCACACGTATAAATGTTATGTCTTTGCGTTTCAGCAATATGCCTGAACAAGCTGCTATGTTGGTAAACAGTCTAAAGTCTGACGCAAATGTGCGATTTTATGATGATTGGAAGCTAGTGACGCTGTTTGTTGGTGGAAATGACCTGTGTGATGCTTGTAACGATCGTGTAAGACCGCCAATCTGATTAACGATCGTGTAAGACCGCCAATCTGATTAACGATCGTGTAAGACCGCCACTCTGATTAACGATCGTGTAAGACCGCCAATCTGATTAACGATCGTGTAAGACGGCCAATCTGATTAACGATCGTGTAAGACCACCAATCTGATTAACGATCGTGTAAGACCGCCAATCTGATTAACGATCGTGTAAGACCGCCAATCTGATTAACGATCGTGTAAGACCGCCAATCTGATTAACGATCGTGTAAGACCGCCACTCTGATTAACGATCGTGTAAGACCGCCAATCTGATTAACGATCGTGTAAGACCACTAATCTGATTAACGATCGTGTAAGACCGCCACTCTGATTAACGATCGTGTAAGACCGCCACTCTGATTAACGATCGTGTAAGACCACCAATCTGACGTGTAAGACCACCAATCTGATTAACGATCGTGTAAGACCACCAATCTGATTAACGATCGTGTAAGACCGCCAATCTGATTAACGATCGTGTAAGACCACCAATCTGATTAACGATCGTGTAAGACCGCCAATCTGATTAACGATCGTGTAAGACCGCCACTCTGATTAACGATCGTGTAAGACCGCCAATCTGATTAACGATCGTGTAAGACCGCCAATCTGATTAACGATCGTGTAAGACCACCAATCTGATTAACGATCGTGTAAGACCGCCAATCTGATTAACGATCGTGTAAGACCGCCAATCTGATTAACGATCGTGTAAGACCACCAATCTGATTAACGATCGTGTAAGACCACCACTCTGATTAAAATACAGATCATGTGTTCAAGCTTTGCTCGTAAAAAACACAGAATCTATATTATAATCAGATTGGTAAGACCGCACGAAACTAATATATTCCCGAGTAGAGGTCACAAACACACTCTAACCCATACCATTTTATCCAAGTAAAATAAAGGAACAAACAAACATTCAACGTATATTGTTAATTTTGCAAGGGAAGTAGACGAATATGAATATTTAACCTGAAATTATAACCATTTTCTTAATAACTCATAAATTCTGATATTTGAAAGCATAATGCAATACGTGAACTATATATCAAGCACAAACTGTGTTTAAATTGATAAATCAAGAAAATAAATCAATTTTTAATTGTAGTCGATCCAATTTATCCATAACAGCTCTCTACTAACACCATTTATGTTATAAAGAAGGGTGACAATGTGTTTGTACATAATTTAGATTTCTGTGTCATTGAGTTGTTCTATAACATGCTTTTTTATACACGAACAGAACAAGTACAGCGGTGCCAATTATGCCAATAATATCAAACAAGCTCTGGATATACTGCATGCCCAAGTCCCAAAAGTGCTTGTCAATGTAGTGCAGATATTTGATATTGCTCCTATTGCCTCAATGAATGGAGGATTTCTGTGTAATTTAGTACATAGGTAATAAACTGATTTTTTTCTAACAAATGTCACACAGATTAAAAGATAAACTCACTGAACTGTGTGAACAAAACTACAATAACCAGCAATATTAGAGAAGGCATTACCTTTTTGTATCCTCTGAAAAAAAGCTGTATTTAATCATTGTGACAGAATATACGAAAGTCAATTTTGGTTGGGGAAAAAATCTCACGTTGCAGGTTTTCGAAAATTCGTTCATCTTGAATTTGTTAATCGCCATTTATATTAAACGCATTTATTTCTAGCAGTATGTTATAAATAAAGGCAACAGTAGTATGCCGCTGTTCAAAAGTCATAAATCGATTGAGAGAAAACAAATCCGGGTTACAAACTAAAACCGAGGGAAACACATCAACTATAAGAGGAAAACAAAGGAGAACAGAAACACTGAAGTGCAACAAAAACAAACGCCAACATACATAGAAAATATTTCATTTATCAAGAGAAAGACATGTATACAAGTGCCATTCCAATAGGATCCCATGTACAGCTGTTTGTAGGTGGTTCAAACTTAGCTCAATGAAACATGAGCAATATCCGCATGCCAACTTCATTTGCATTATATAAACTTATTAGGCTAAGATACAACCTCCCAAAGAAAACAAAATGCACAAATATATATTTTAAGGCGCAAAAATAACGTCCATTACGAAGAAACTGAGAATAAATGTTGACTGGACTGTTACACTTGTACCGTCAAATTAAACTTCAACCGTTTGTTAGCCCCGAGGGTAGGCCGGAATATACAAATTAGTCTGATGCAGGATAATGTATATATAACAGCCACGTCTGGTGAAATATTTGCCACTGGCCTTAACCACTAATCATCGTTTTCTATAGAATCCATTACCTAACTAAATTCCAACACTAAGTCATACATAAAGTCATACATAAATAAATACATGTAATAACTCATATAATTTTATTGGGAACTAACACATAAGAGTATTGGTCGGTCATCTTTTTCCGCAATTTAGATATATAATTGTATTCCAGTTTTGTATGTCCATGTGGAAAGGAAAAAAACAATACTGCTTTATTAGATGGCTTCACTCGTTCTTATCAGGATCAGACAAAGGCGCTGATCGACAGTGGTAGATACGACACACGATCTGATTTTACAGCTGTCCTTCAACCATTCTTTACAAATACTAGACCACCCACTCACGTAAGTACATTGATTAGTTATTGATGTTGCTAAAAGGTTTTGTACTTGTAAATCAGTGCTATCAACTTATGAAATCCGTTTGAAAAGGGTACTCACAATATATCTAAAAGACAAATATATATTAACCAACCGCAAAAATCCAGTAGTTTTTTATCTTGTTATTTTTTGTGGTATCTGTAATCAAATAATCCTATTATTCAACTTTTAGTCCGGTACAAATATGGTAGATCTGAGTTATTTCTCACCTGACTGTTTCCATTTTAACGAGAAAGGTCATGGAGCTGCTGCTTTGTCTTTATGGAATAACATGGTAAGTATATAGTAAATTAACAATAATTGTAATTATTTCAAACTCGGCTTGTGACAACTTTTCATACACTATAAAATTGTCCTCATTCTTTTAGTCCGGATAATAACCTTAAGATTTTCAATTTTGTCATGTGGTTTTGTGTGTTGTTTTTTTTCATTTAAAATTACAATTACTATATTTCATATATGTCTTTGCTTGCACGCAATGATAATCTCACGTGGATAGACTTATCGTAATGATAATCTCCCGTGGATGGACTTATCATTTCTTAAACCTAGTGGAGTAATTATAAACGATTCCATTTTGTACATCAATATGGAGAAAAATATTGAGTGTTGAAATCTACTTTCCCCCTCATTCAAGACAAGATTTACAAATAAGTGTGTATTGTTGAAATCATCTGCCTACCCCTTATTGGAATTATTGCCCTTTAATGATTACGTTTACCATTTTTTTTTTTTGCCTAATATCTAAAAAAACTATTATAGATAGATAGAAGCTAAAATAAGCAAAAATGAACAGCGACAAGATCTTCAAGTAAGTCTATTGGCCGAAATCGTCAGTTCACTCCTTATTGGAGTTATTTATTGCTCTTAATGACGATTTTGACCATTTTTAGTGTTAAGTCTCTTGTCTGGAAAACTACTATATATATAGACAAACACTTTAAATAGCAAAAATGATCAGCAAAACAATTTTTTTTCGTTTTTGCCTGTTATCTTGAAAACTATAAAAGAAAGAATGACACGTTAAATAGCAAAAACTATCAGCAAGACAAGACCTACAAATAAGTCAAATTTTGCCACAATCGTTAGTAGACTCTTTATAGGAGTGATTGCCCTTGAATGACAATTTTTATTACCCTTTTTTTGTGTTTTGGGCAAAGACTAAAGAAGATAGAGAGAAACTGTAAAGAGAAAATTATCAACAATACAAGATCAACAAAAAAGAGATTTTTGACATTTTGTTCTAGTCCATAATGTTGGAGCGTGTCCAATGTTGAAGATGCACATAGATCTAGGTGAGCGACACAGGCTCTTTGGGGCGTTTAGTTTTAATTTCGATCAGATTGAAAAGATTCACCAAAGAACAGTTAAGAAAAAGCTCTTGTGCGTGGTAACTCTTGCTTAATCAGATTCACTAGTATTACAGATTACAAAAAAAAACCCACAAGAACACGTAAAACAATTCTACACTTGTCAATTGTAAAACAATACTAACAAATAATATATCAAGGAGTAATTGGAGGTACTCAAAGCAAGCTCAAAATCCTTGAATTTTACACTCTATACCTAGTGTGAGTGGTATACCTATCTACTGTACGTCACATGCTTCCAACACTTACAGTATTTCTTTATATGTTTTGTTGAAGGCCGTAAATGCATTGTACATATTTATGAATTGAATGCTTCTTTTTTTAATTATATTGGGGTCTGAAAGCGTTGACCGAGCTCATTTTGTGGAAGCGTTTATACTAAACAAGGATTTTAAAAACCTATAGAATTACAAAAGGAAGCATTTAACTCTTATAATTTCATTTTTAACCTACAACAATGAAATCACCAGTTATATCAATTTTCTCGTTTGTTTTCCTATGCATTGTTTTGAAACATACATCTTATGTTATTATAAATTATTAAATAAACTTTTTTAGTTTGAGGCTCCAGGGACTAAACAACTTTCTTGGCATTTAGATCAAGATTTCCACTGCCCTGGAACACACGTAAGTTTTGTATTTGTTCATATTCAACTACTACAGTAAGTACACACCGTTTATTTTGCATGTTTTATGGTACAATGTATATCTAAAGGATGACATATGTCTTTGGATACATTAACAACGTATCTATTTTAGTTCGGTTTTGGCATGTATGACAGAAGAACACACAATAAATTTCTGTAAATAATTTGCGTTAGCCTTCAATATATCATTTAGTTCAAAAATTGTTACGGGCTACTTAAGTCGAATAAGCACTGAAGACTATCGTATTAGTCATTCCTACTTCCCTGACGATCCAAAAAAATCCCAGATTTTAGATTTTCCTTCAAATACCTGAGCATATTTATGAAATTTAGATATAATGTTAAGAACTATAAATTAGTCTGAACCCTTGATTTATAAGTTTTGTAATTAGTTTATTAATATTAAAAGGAGTAGTGTGGTATTCGTTATTGAGACAGAAACCAAACGATACTTTAAAAAAACAAAAGGCATCTAGAGATCAACAGTCTTCAACAATGAACAGACCGGTGTCTATACAATACTAGTTTTGAAAACCCGTGCTTCCCGTAAACCGATTTGACCCCATGTGTAGACTGGGTTTAGAAATGTTTTACCTTGAACTATTCAACACCAAGCAATAACCCTATACTAAAGTAATATTTAAAAGGAGGATGGATTTCCGTATCAGAAGAAGAAAAAGTGCGGCGGTTTGGCTGTGCGGGGTGTAAATATACGCAGCCGCGGCCTGTTGGAATGGGGACGTTAAATCCGATGCATCATGTGGAGGGAATGCCATGCTTTTGGTAATTCAATGAACAATTTCAACAACTCTTTAGAGGGTACTTAACTGGTCTATTGTTTGGAATTTTTTTTTGTTGCCTCTGTCCAAAATACCGGGCCTCCTTTTCAAGTGGCAGTCTGAATATCCTATCACATGTCATCCATAAATGACAAATGTTTGGACTATGACCTCGACGATTGACGTCTAAAGATGTTCACTTCATACATTAACACATTTATACATATAAGAGGAACATTGTTGTATTTAATTTTCTAATGCACTTTTTCCTTTCTACATATATACTTTCATATGTTTTAGGGTGACCATGGCCATGATTTCATCACCACAAAAATGAATGCTAATGGACAATTCGTTTTAGGAAAGAAATAAATCATACAATAAATACTCGATAAAAGGTCTTAACTTTCTATATATATTTATTAATTTTACAGTCATTTTTGACACAAGGCTCTAAGACATCAAAGGAACTTCATCTTTCAATTTACTTCAAATACCAGCAAAGGGTCATTTAATTAGACTAAATAAACATTCTTGCATTCATTTGAATATCCCTGATGTTTTCTATGAAATACGAGAACATAATGTTTCTCTGAATAGAAGGATAAACTTTAATGAGTTAGCAACCCAACGCGACTAAAACAACGAAAAAATATGTAGCGGCCAACATGCAGTCTTCAACAGGTGTCAAGCTCCAAATCGTCTCAAGTCTATATCACTTATGAACAAAAACAGAAACAATCAAATCTGGAATTCACACATATTTTTAGATATTCAATAACAGTTACAAACATCATTTGAATTAACAAATGTAAAACGACAGGATTCATTAGTGGAGTAATTGAGTTAACCCCCGGTTTTTTGGCTGAATTTGTTTTGCTTTTTCATTTTATATTGTATCTCTGATCCATGACAGATGTATTGTATGCGTGTTCTATTTCATTATTCATTTTATATCTACTGAACTCGACGAAGGATGAATCTTTTATTGCAAAAGCATAAACATGCTATGGCAAAATTAACAACATATATTACATAATATAAAACATGGATAGACAGCAGAGAACAATAGTAAAGCACTTATGATAAATGTAAGGTTATGAAACTATATTAGATCTAATATTACATGCAGTTTGTATGTAATTACATGATTAAGATGATAGTAAGAGACTTACTAGACGCTTGAAGTAAATATAATGTACAAAAGTTTATGATTATTAGACCAAGAACAATAATACTTTGGTAAAAATTGTGTTCGCACAGATCTGTAAGCTGGACACACAAGAACAAAATGGTATTCATCTTCATTAACACACATTTTACAGCATATACATAAACGATTTTCTCTCGGAATATTATTGTAACGACCAACTTTAATATTTAACTTTAATGTTCACTAAGTAACTTTGTTAACTAACAAACATTATTGTTATAAGAAAGATATTTTTCAATACAAAAGGTTTATTTCAATCTATTAAAAAAAACAAAGTTTAATCATATAAGATATCACGTATATTTGAAGCCCAGTTAACATCATACAAGAGTTTATAAACATGATATACAACTTTTGGTTTATTTGTAATAACATGTAACCAATATTTCAATATTTTATGCATTCTAACAATAAAAATAGGTAAATGGCCAAGTTCGCCATATATAACACATGTAGGTACATTTTTAACACAAATCTACAAAAAAGGTTATGAAAAGTCCGATATCTCCAACACGTTGGAAACCCCATATTTCTTCATCTTCGCTAGCAAAGGGCTACGATCTAGTCCCCTTCTCTCCACCCTTGGTGGGTTAAGATAGAATTTCGGATACACGAGGTAATGATTTTCATTGGTCGCAGTTGTATCTTGCTGCATTCAATCAATGATCACGTGTAAATGTAGAAAATGTTTAATTAAACAATTGCCACGTGCTGATTGTGCGACAAGTCTTTAACCCCAAACATACGACGATATGTAATGACAATTTTAAAGTTCTTAATCAACTAATTATAGTTCCTGGTTTTTTTCTTGTGCAAATGTTGGAATTTCAACGTATATTTTCGGTTCCGGCTTCACGATATTTGTAAACACTAGACACATCCATTTTTACGCCTCTAAACTGAATAGAGTTCAAGTGCTGCCATTAGTCAAGAATGATGTAGTCGGAATGGGCGTGACTTTTGTCTACCGTTAGATGGCGCAGCATTGTAATCACAAATGTTACCCTTGACTAGCGAAGATGTAATTCTTATGCATAGCCCAAGACGGATCCAACCATACTGTCGAAAAGAAACAACTGTTCTTCTGGAGTAACATAGAATTGTTTAAGAGAGTTCATAAAAGATGACATGGCTCTAGATCCTTAATTGTTGTGCTAAACGTTTTTGAGTATGCAAGTAATAATATACCAAGGTACAAATATGAATTAATAACTTGCAGTTCATATAGTTATTATAGAATAAAACGATTGTCTTCTGATCGACATCCATTTCTAAATACCACTACTTTGGTTTTATCAATATATTCCATTTATTGCAGTAACGTAAACGTTTATCAAATAAATGTTGCAGAACAGTCGGTGTTTTTCCAAATAAAACGGTATCGCCAGCAAAAAGAATTAGATAAATAAGAGTTCCATTAAAAGATATGACATCTTCGTCTACATCAGTGGAGATATCTTGAATAATGTCATTTATAAAAAAAAAAATAAGGGAGATAAGGGTTCGCCTTGTTTCACACCAAGATGGTTATCAGGCATATGATAGTACTCCACTAGACCGCACACGTAAACACACAGATGAATAAATAGAATTGACCATTGATACGAATTTACTGCTAAGTCCAGATTTGAGAAGTTTATATTATATCACAATTCTTCTGTCAACCTTATCAAGCGCCCTTCGGAAGTCTACAAAACCACAATTTTGATTTATGCTGAAGAGTATGCGAAATAATTCCATGCAGAGTAAATATTGCGTCAATAGTCGAACGTCCTGGCTGGAATCAAAATTGATTGTCTATTATATGATTTTCGTCCTGAGACCACTAAAACACACGGTCAGTTAGAATACAAGTGACCAACTTAAAAAGGATGCTAACTAGTATTATAGGTCTATGATTGATCGGATCCATAAGATCGCCACTTTGAGGAACAGAAATAACTAGGATTCAGTCCAATATTTTGGATATATTCCGATAGCAAATATCGAGTTGAACAATGTTTTTAAAATTGGTGCGAAAAATACAGGACATGACGAAAACATCTCACCTACAATTTCATCGTTACCTGCTCTATTACGGATTTTAGTCTATTTAGCGGAGCGATTCACTCGAAACAAAAAACACAATCCCAACCGGACACTATACCTACTGTGATTTACACAAACTTAAGTTGTATTAATCACTGCATTTGATTTCCATATGGAACAGGACCCAATTATTCCCTCCATTACTTCAATGCAATTTTATCATAATTGAAGGGCAGATTTTTTTATTCCCTATATTTGGCTGCCAAATTTCTTTCTCATACTAGTAGCCCCTTCATGGGTTCATATTGAATTCTCAATGGGTCATGACGGGCATTTAAGAGAACAATACTGTAATGAGTATTAAAAGGATCATTTTATTGATCTTGTGAATATACTACAAATTTAAACATTTCTACATAATTTTCATCTTCATTCATTTACAAGATTGTGGATTAAGTAACTTTATAACTGGGACCCTACTCCAGATGTTTATTGTCAAGCCTTACCAAGTACAACGAGACATTATTAATTATGTTCCATGCTATTTTCTCAATTCAACAAAAAAAATTATAATGATCTATGTAAATCAATTTTTCGACTTGCGATAAATTTTTTTCATATTGCATTGAACATGAATCATTTTATTCCGATTCGCACTTGGTAAGGGCTAGTCATGATTATGTGGATGAGTATGTTTAGTTTGTTACTCGTCTCACTGTCTTACATACCATTTCTCCTCTCCTTGGCAACCATCAATCAATCGATCGTCCCCGCGTGGAAATTTAATTTGAGGAACTTGTCGAAAGATCGACACAGGTTTAGTATTGTTACAGGCGGGCGAGTAGGGGTCGTGTGTACTTTTATTTAAGTGTTTGATTGTCGATAGTGTTCCTCTAGATAGTATTGTTTTAAGTGTAGTTGGTTGACCCCAGCATAGTCATATATAAATTAATCCAGCGTAAAAGAATGACTTTTATTCTTGTCCAGTATGTGTTTATCTCAATAACTCATATAACAGCAATAACATAGTTAGTACAATTAAAAGAGTAAGATGCTGGCCTTCCGAACCCCATATGTCACTTAATATATATATTTGAAAGACTTTATCATATCAATCGATTCATATTAATTCAATAATGAGAAAATGAAATATACTTATTTCATGAAATTACGAATATATAAGTTTGTCAGTCAACGTGGTGGGATATCGTATCTACACATCTTTAATAATTGTCATATTTGCCGAAAGCTACTATAATAATTAGAAATTGTATACATATAACTGGTTCCGCATTTTGTCTAATATGAAGCAACTTCCTGTCGAAGACCTGCGTAAGCGGGAATATTTGTAAAATGGTATTTGGTTCCTGAAAGTCTATGAGTAAGGCTTTGGTTCAATATTCCGAAAGATTAATTTTAGCTTAAAATATAAGAACTTAAATTGCTATCATATAGCTTACGGTAAAAATGGCTTTGAATCGAAATGCATCCTGTACCTAGATAGATTTGTTGACTCGAAGGTTTGTTTATTTAGACGTTCTGTTTAGCTTGACAGCCAGATACGATATGCCGAAGTACAAATGGAAGTTTTTAACGACCTTGACTGGCTATACAGCCCTTGCACGCGGTCGGTTAATAATGCCGAAGTGCTAGTGCGACGCTGTATTCATACTTGACGGTGAGATACATGCGCGGCTCACAGAACTGAAAATCTACTATAACTTAGAAATGCCAACGAAAACTCTGGCTCATGGCACACAATGCCGTTATAAATCCATAAAACTGCCAAAGTTTGCCCTTATTTCCAAAAGACAAGCGACATATTAAATATAATCATTAAAATTGGCGTAATTAAAAGTTTATGTCTCAGCTGACCCTCATTGTCAATGTCTAGATGTTAGTCAAGATATAATGCAGACTTGACTGTGTCTATGGTATTTTCTATTTCAAGCTCGATGGGATAGTCACAACTTTAAATTATTTCGTGAGAGGATATCAACTTTATAGCAGAACATGAAGTAAAAGGATAACGCTAGATTTTTTTCATTATTTCTGGTATAGCTAACATTAACGGTGATTGTCGAAATGTGCAGCTGATGCAGTAAAATTGTTACCGTTGAATCTGACTATAACATCTAAATTTTTAATAAAATAAGATAAAAACTGTTTATCGAAGTTCTTGTTCCAAAAATTTCTTTAAATGTTTAGAACCGTATCGTGATATATTGATATCGCCAAGTCAAACACATTATGAAGTTGTATTTTTGGTTCTGGTTTAAAATTTATAAGTCGTCGCAATTCCTTTGACATCACAAATCGTTGCTACAGAACTTTGTGAAGAGTCTATCAGAATGATAAAGCCTTGGGGGAAAGGCGATGATCAAGGATTGTATTTAAACATGTAAATTTTATTTGAAAAAAATCTCAACAAAGATACCAGGCTTATCATTTTGTACGCCAGACATTCGTTCCGTCTACAAAAGACTCATCAAAAGTTAAAACGCCAAATACAGTACGAAGTTGAACTGCATGGAATACATAAAGCTAGTTTATCAGAAATCATGAGAGAAATAACACTCTGTATAAGGATAGGAAACGCTGTGTTATTGCCAATGAGACAACCATCGTACAGAGACCAAATGATGTGGATTTGAGCGACTATAAGTAACAATACAGCCTTCAACAATGAGCAAAACCAATACCGTATAGTCAGCTATAAAAGACCCCGACAAGTAAAATGTGAAACAATTCAAACGATAAAACCAACGGACTGATTTAAGAAATAAACAAATAAACAAATATAAAAGACAACCAACGACAAAAACTCAATCAAAGGCTCTTGACTTTGGACACGGCCCCCGGGACATATAGAATGAGTCGGGGATAGTGATGTAATATCACAACATATGAAAAAACTGTAAAATTTGTTGGAAATGGCTTGACTCATCGGATTGGCACGAATGAGAAACAATGTGCATGAACTGGTAAAAAATTTATACTTCTATCATCGGTATTGATTTATGTCGACTAAGTAATAACATATTTGATTTTTTATTGATTGAGTTCCAATGTAAATTATGACAACATCGTTTCCCTTGGTGCACAATCCAACTCTCCTGTAATAATACGACGTTCCACATTCGTTATGCTTTGCACACTTTTTGAATAATGGCATCCATTGAAGTTAAAGCTTTTGGAATCCTTAGTTGCATGGTTAACTGAAAATAAATGGATTACTATATTATATATTAGCCAGTGAAAGATGCTAAATTTCTTTGCTTTAATCTTTATACCTTCATATTTTGGAAATCAATGGATGGAAGTAAGATTCATTTTTTTTTAATTATCCCAATTTGCTGAATAAATGTAATACATAAAATTATGCTATCCTTTAAATTTGTGAAGTTTGTAAAGTTTTTAATTTGAGATCATTCTTCTCAGTCCGTTTACATGGAAATATCATCAATTTTACTTTAACAATTAACAATAATTTAAACGTAATTTATATCATTTTAGGCCAAATGGCGGTTTAAAGACCGGTTGGTCATTTCCCGTATACTAACTGAGCTTCGGTTTCACGTCGGTCCTTAACTTGCCACTGATTATCTGTTCAATATGAGTGTTTTCATTACGACACATGTAGTGTTTCTTCAACTTAATTAAAAGAAATATCTTTATTGGCTGGTTTACCACCAACATTTTAATCTCAGAATCAAAGCTGGAATCAAGGAATACCGACAATTTAACTATTACTTTTGTTTTTGATGCAATTAAAAAGGCTTGTTAAGAGTATATGATCGATATTACGTTAATTTTACTTATAATGCAGTAGAAAATCAAACCAGATGTAAAACATTGCAAGTTCTTCTTAACAAATCAACTATACAGTATACACTATACATTTCAGAAATAGAAGTGTAAACTTACCATTTAAATAGTATTTCTTTCCAAGTTGAAAATCAATGTATGAGCATAATGATCCAGGCAAAGGAGCATTCAAAAAAGCAGTTCTTCCACCGGCAAAATTGTCTACACGACCATCCTACGGAAAACAAAATCATTTTAGTTTGGTGTAAATCACAATTTACATGTAAAGGCGACATAATTTAGTCGATATACACATCATTTATGATATACACAACTTTTAACGGCACCAAAAAATGTACTGGTTATAAAAATGTGGTAACTTTGTCTTCTGCCATACGGCATCAAAACTCACAATAAATAGCGCCGGTGGTTGTCTAAGTGGGATGTATAAATACGCAGCCACGTCCCTTCGGAATTAGGACGTAAATCCGATGTCTTTTATATGAATATTTCCATGCTCTATGCATGTTAAATAACTTCGCTATAACTCTTTGACGGGTCCGTAGGTAGCCTGATTCAAAATTTCTTCCCCCATCAACCATATATTATTTCTCCAGTGGCTGTACAAATTTACCGGCTTCATTTCGGTCAACCCACTTTGCAGAGCGTACCTTTTCGATTTATTGTTTATTTGTTCGAGTCCTGAATATGCATTGTATATTTGATACTTAACGTAAAGCAAGGACAATCGATAAATCAATCAATCAAACAATCTATGACAAATCTTAATGTGACTTTAAGATACATGTACATGTATTTCTTTTTCAATGTAACTGTTCATACACGTTAATTTAATTTTCTCATGTGCTCATTACTGTATTGGAACAGAACTGTAAAAGAGGCTTTACATCTTGTTAATGGATTTTTTTCATGAAATATTCTAACACATTGTTTTAAAGATCTGGTTTGTACTTAATTGGCAAAATATACTACTCTCACTTTAATATCTATTTGTAGTCAACAGTTACCATCAATACAAAAGTATATTTTTGTTTACATGTTTAACATATTTAACCCCGCCACATTCTGTATGTGCCTGTCCCATGTCAGGAGCCTGTAATTCAGTGGTTGTCGTTGGTTGCTGTCTGTATGTGCCTGTCCCATGTCAGGAGCCTGTAATTCAGTGGTTGTCGTTGGTTGCTGTCTGTATGTGCCTGTCCCATGTCAGGAGCCTGTAATTCAGTGGTTGTCGTTGGTTGCTGTCTGTATGTGCCTGTCCCATGTCAGGAGCCTGTAATTCAGTGGTTGTCGTTGGTTGCTGTCTGTATGTGCCTGTCCCATGTCAGGAGCCTGTAATTCAGTGGTTGCCGTTGGTTGCTGTCTGTATGTGCCTGTCCCATGTCAGGAGCCTGTAATTCAGTGGTTGTCGTTGGTTCCTATTTATCCTATTTATTTTTCATTTATTGAGTTTTACATAATTCAAGCCGTTCATAATTATTCTTGTTTGAATTGTTTTACATTTGTCATTTTTGGGCATTTTACAGCTTGCTATTGCACATTGTTGATGACCATACGGTGACCTATTACAGCCGATAACCGTCTACGTCATTGGTCTCTGATGGAGAATCATACCACATCTTCTTATTCTTATATTTTTCAACTAATATAACTTATCCTTTTACTGGTTAAAAACAATAATTTTTCACCCTGACAAATGGTTATGATTCTTTAAGCTCTAAACACAGATATTATGCATGTATATGTTGAAGAATATGACATTCATGAAAAAACTAGATCAAATAATAATATTTATCACCCAATGTCCAATAAGCACGCAATTACGAATGTTTGCTATTACAAAACTGTATTTCTGATATAGCAAAAAAGAAGAAACGTCTAATTTAATTAATGTCGTAGACTTTTTAAATTAAAAATTCCTAAATATCCCAAAATTAAATGACATTATTATTTGCGAACAGAAATCCAAGTAGATAAATGAAATCAGAATAAAATAAAAAGGTTAACACTACGCATTATGTAACAAAATTTTACAGTTGTATTTTAAAATTACCTTTTATTCAGAAAAGAAGATGAGTAAATTAGAACTTAAATTAAAAACGATGTTAATTTCTTTCAATAATGATTTACAAGCTTTTATAAAAAAAAATTTTAATCAGCATTTTTTAGATATGATTTACGCCTTATGGGAACAAATATATCAAAAAAAGACTCTCTCTGCGGCCGGGACCAAGACTTTCCTTTATTGAACATTTTGGATAAAATTTGGCTATTATACATGAGTAACATGACTTAGTATAGAAGAGCCTGCTTACGGAGCACACGAGATCACCACCAGTTTTTGACGGGGCTCGTAATGCTCAGATGTTAGTTTTCTATGCAGTGTTTTGTGGTCTTGTCTGTCTTCTCGTCATCTTTCTTTGTTTTTGCTATGGCGTTGTCAGTGCATCTTTGACTTATGAGTTTTGAATGTTCTATTGGTATCTTCCGTCTCTTTTTTTATATAAGATTTCCAATTATTATTTCAGTATTAAAATTATAATAAAATTGTACATACCGTATACATTTTCAGTAAAGTAACAGTAAACCGAACATTTCCATCAATCTCGTTATGACCACTAGGTCCTGGTATTACTGTTTTTTTATTTGCCTTAAACAATATATCTGAAATAACAATATAGTTTAATTCTATATACTAAATCTATTTCCCTAAATAACATTAATATTATTTCAGTTCGTTTTGAAGGATGCATGGCTGTTTAACGTCCGGTGGCAAATTAAGTGCATATTCATGTCTAGAATATGATAATGTATGAAAATAAATCCAGCTTTGCACTTATCCAACACGCTGAACCATAATTTTTACCTGCTAGTTCACAAGGTAACATTCCGCAGGAAGACATGTCACCCTACCCGGACACATTATTCGACTCCGAGACGACCAGTCTTTGCTCTTACTCCTAAATGCTGTGTGCTTACCGGAGAAGCAGCAAATACCAATTTTTAAATCTTTGGGTTGACCCGGCCGGGGTTCAAACCCACGACTTCCCGCACCCGAGGCGGTCAGTTCATTTTGATACTTCCTTTCTAAACGCCGGAGATGAATCTATTTTAGGGCAATTGATAGGCTTTTGTGCATATCACAAAAAACACATTTCCCGTCGAAAAATGTTTATGATGACGAAAGCACACTTGTGTCGATCGTGCAAATAACTCTTTTCCAGAAAAAAAAATGTATTCGTGATTTAAAAAAAAGTAAATATAATTCAAACACAAAATAACAAAGTCGATTAAATATAATAATGTGAGAACATTTTTCTTTACAATACAAGAGTTGATTTTGAAAATAGAAACCAAGCTTAATGATTAAGTTGATGCCACAGTCATGCTTTAATAAATAAGTAACCATAATTGAATAAAATAAGGTATACATACATTGTCTGTTATGACAGATGGAGTTATGGATGCTTTCACCTTCGAGTTCGAAGAATCCCCAATCACATGAGCATTGTAAAGACTCGTGAAAACCTATTACTATTATAAAAATACAGAAAATTACAGAAAATTTCATCATGATGTCTGATAATGTAGAATGCCGGTTTGGCTAAGTAGAAAATTTGAATTTTATTTATACTGCTTTAGAAACTTGCTGAAAGGCAACAGTAATAATTAATTGCTTTATGTACAAAGCAGGCATTAGGTATCGGGGAAATATAATATTTTTAATATATTGATCATATGTTGCATTGCCTACAGATATGGCAGATGTTATATAGCCAAAGACAAATGTCATTCGATTATATGAGAGACAATGTTGTTGAAAACGTGTTACCTTTGACAAAAATGTTACAAATTTTTCATTTATTTGTTTTTTGAATATAGATTAAAAAAAATATTCCCAATTTTGTACAAATCCATAATAGTATCAATGTTTGGAGTTCGTGAAATAAACTGAATTAGAAATAAGACGATGTGGTATGAGTGCCAATGAGACAACTCTCAATCCAAGTCACAATGTGTAAAAAGTAAACAATTATAGGTCAAAGTACGGCCTTCAACACGGAGCCTTGACTCACACCGAACAGCAAGCTATAAAGGGCCCCAAAATGACTAGTGTAAAACAATTCAAACAGGCAAACCAATTAGTCTGGGTAATTCCGTTTAAATAGAAAGGACATATTAAAGGATCTGTCAGGGATATTGTAGACCTGTCAGAAACTCGCCGTCACTTCGTGAGACCACACGTTTACAACAGTCAAATTGACAGTTTTATATATTAATTGAAAGTATAACTATGCCCAACTTTTGCGACTTAATAGTTTTCTTTATCATTTTAACTTTTTTCGCTTTTTTTGTTTCCCAAATCACAAAGAAGTTCAATCGATGCATGTCTCACCCGAATTAATCTCGCATGTTCGTGATCTAATACTAAATTTAATAATTATGTAATATAAAAACACCAATCTTTACTTTCATGTCCAATGTTCATCACTTAAACTATCATTATTTGAAATTCATTTAAGTATTTACCGTTATATATTTAGACACATGTATATGATAGGCGTTGTCAAAGTATAAAGACACAGTCAAGTTTTTGAACATAAGAAATATGCAATCATTCAATGTACGAAAATATCACTTTTTTTGTTTATATTTTGTGCGTCCGAAGCACTTTTCGGGATAAACATTCACCAGGAAAGCTCAAAGCCTGGAATGTATAAAAACTAGAAAAGTTGACAAAAAGGGATATAAAAGAAAGGCCAAATCTATTTTAGGTCGGCTTTGCCTAAGGGAGTTAGATTCTTAGGTTTTTAATAATTTCGTCATTCGTTTACGTGGAATTTTAGAAACACTAGCTATAAATCATGTTAGTCCCGAAGCACTTTGGTCAATTGAATAGTCAAAAAATATTATTTCTATTATGTTTTTTTTTGTAGTTGTAGGATAGGATAGGAAAGGTAAATTATTGTTATAAAGTGTCGAGTTCGAGTTACAGTTTTAATCAAAGTACTGAAGTACTGAACATCGGATGACCGCAAGTTCAAGCACTTGTCTCAGAAAAAAAAATCACATCTCTGTACCTGAAAGTGAGGTTAAGGTACATATATATATTTTTTTCTGAGACAAGTTCGTGTGTGGATGATGAATAAATGACAGGGAATTCAACCTCACCGTTATAACTATTATATTGTAGTAATACAAATCAGTATACTGTGGTTTGTTGTTATATATTATATTTATATTTGTATATAACAGTTACATGTATATCATGTATATAATGGTTTACCTTTATAAATTGTAACTTGGATGGAGAGTTGTCTCATTGGCACTCATACCACATCTTCCTATATCTATATATAGTTTTCATCCATTTGTATATCATTCTATTCTACTATTCTAATAATAATGCAGCTCAAGTGCATGGTGGACACTCTTCTGTAATAATTCGATTTTTCTAATAGATTGGATTTGAGTAGGCATTCATATTTTCCCGCAAAACGTTCTTGAGATATTCTTCCCCATGCGTTAACACAAATTTTCGGTATTCTTGATTTGTTATTGATATATATATTTCTCACGACAAAACATTTTCATATCATTTATCTATGTTCTTAAAAATTATTTTCATGAATATTTATTGATTAAATTGATATATAACAAGCGATAAGGAATGTTATTTTGCGTTCGGTTATCAGTCAAAAAGGAAAGTCACGTGGGTAGAAATGATAGTGGCAACAATACACCGGAATGCCCTCACGGTCATCCGATGTAAAAATGACGTCTGTTACTGTCAGGTTGTTTTTATTTAGAAAGCTTAATATGGTAACAAAAAGCTCAGATAACTTGAGTTCCTACTAAAAGTGACTGGAAAAGTGTAAAATGTTTACAATATTTCCCTTTTGTTTTTATTTTGTTTATACTATGTTGTTTGTTTTTAGTCGTCCTACGATTTTTAATTGCAACCTGTTTTAATATCTTATTATTTTTCATTTAAGTCATTACATGACGTGTGTATTTCTATTTTCTTTTCGATACATGTATATAACCTATTTTTAAGTACATAATATAATAATCAGGGAAAATAAAAAAGCAAATTTCCAATGTTTTTCGTTGTCATTGACACAGAAATTGTTATATCAAAATAAAGTTTATTTTTTCGTGAATTAACTTAAGAGTTTGAAAAGGGCTTGAAAACTGCTTCCAAGAAGACGACCATTCTTTTATCGGTTATAAAAAAATGTCGCTATGCTTGCTATGTTCGCGGTTGGCGTTTCACAGCAAAATGCAGTGCCTACGCAAACATTTCACTGTCTGTTTGAATTCAAGGTAATTTGTTCAAGGCCGCAAACACTAACAATAAAACACTGGCAGCGAACAAAACCCATTGAAAAAATAATCCGATATACGGTATAAATATAAATAAGGTGAATCTGCTGAAAAAAAATTATTATATTATACATTTTCCCATGTTAGGATATTATAGCTAATATTCAATATGTCACTAGTACACATCCGCGACATCGCCTCCAGGACTGAATTAAATTACCTATGCCTTATATTTAGCCTGGATATTTAGTATCCGTATTATTATCTGATAGTCATGCTGATTGTAAAGTGCAGTTCAGTGGCGGATCCAGAAATTGTAATAAGTGTGGCCCACTGACTGCCTAAGAGGGGGCCCGCTCCAGTGATTCCCTATATTGTCAACCAAATTTTTCCCACAAAAGGGGGGGGGGACAGGCCCTGCCCCCCCCCCCCCCCTTAATCCGCCTCTGCAGTTTTCTCTGCTTTCAAAATCTTTCTGTTTGAACCCGTCCTGTTTTTCTTACTACAATAAACTTACTATAAACTAATTCATTTTTTTACTTTTTAACCAAAATTGATAGCGGTATTGAGGTGGAAGAAAACAGACTTGTTAGATAGTGTACTATAGTGTAACATAGTTATAAAACAACTATTGGAAGAATTCCAGGTTCTCATGGTAGAGGTGGGATTTACAGAAGGTAGCAGGTAACTACAACCGGAAACTACATGTGACATATATTATGGGTATCGGTGTCGGATTCAACCCGGAATTAGTTAATTATTGGTAATATTAATTATTTGTAAAAAAACAAAAGGCCTGGAATGATTAAATTTTAAACAACACCATTGTCCTATATTAGTTTTATATAAAGTTGAATTCTTCGATTCGTCGTTTTTACGTCATGCTGGCTAAGAAACTGAACCTCGTTATTTTAGTAGTATAGATACTTCAAGTGTGCACAAGATGCACAAAACTCTGTTAAATCACACATTCACTTGAATCCTTGGAAGATTGCGCACTATATTAGAAACAGCTGTCGATTAAACAAGACTTGTTAGCAGCATATTGTTACAATGGAGCAATACCAAGGTGATTGTGAATAGAACCTCATTACTTGAAAACATGTTTATCACTAACACAGTTATATAATATAGATTTTTATGTGTTCCCCAAAAGCCAGATTACAAGTTTAAAACATAATGAATCTAATAAGTGGTTGACCTTGTATGTGTTTTCTCGATAATATTTCCTTCACGATCCTATACCAGATCTTTTACGATCCCATCGCAATACTTGACCATCGTTACTTATTTTTTCATGATCATTTTGCAATCGCAAGGTATACACTGTGGTTGAATTTCATTTTTTAAAAGAAACTCGTGTGTTATTCTCGTTTGACCGATATGGCATCGAAAAATAACACACTGACCTTTCCTGCATATAAAATTGTTTAAAGGTTTGCATATATTTGGTTTTATTTCATTCATTTTTCCATAGATTAAAAACATATTCTCTAATAAAAGATTTAAAATCAGTATATCAAGAAAGATAACTCTATCGTTGTTCCCGTTATGAGGTATTCCATCTTCATGCCATAATACTCGATAAACTGTGTTACAACCCAAGATGAAGCCTAACGAGGAACGGTCTTATTTGACTAACGAAAGCTTTAAAAGTTTCAACTTTATGAAAGACTTTCTCCATCGGATAACCTATGTTTATGCGGGCCTTACGCCACAAATTACCTATACTTCGTCTGAAATTAAGACCAAACAATGTCAGATCTGCAAATTTGTTTTGGTAATTTTGTATCCTCCCTCAGTTGGATTTGAACTCATGTATCTTTGACATCGTGGGAATTACCGTCTACACTATGTCTAGAGCTGAGCATTACTCGGTTATATAGAGATATATCTTCTATTAGTTGAGTAATGCCCCCTCGTCGGCTTCATCTAGGCTTGTTATACAGAACATGATGGTTTATGCAATGCAGATTGAATACTTTGCAGATCGTCTTTTATTTCAAATTTTATCTGTCGCAAATCGTAAAGAAAGATAATGCATACCATAGTCATATTAATATCATTTTATTATATACATCTAAATATGTGACAGAAGTTATGGATAACATAGGGTATTACAAGGCTAATATCCACATCATAAGAATGACTAAATCACTATGATTCATTGAACAATGTCGTTCTATATTATGTAGCAAATGGCTCTTAAAATTATTTTGTAGTAGCTTAATCAGAAAAACGGGAAAAATTGGAATATTTATATAA